TACAAACATATTAACGCCAAACATTCGGTAGAATTTATAGAATATTGTAAAAATTATGGTCTATTACCAACATATATGTATGTATATATGTATAATTGTATATATATATATATTTATCACGGGGTACCATAAGGATCCATACTAGGACCCCTTCTATTTTCTATCTACATAAATGACCTCTGCAACGTTTCGCCTTCAACCAAATGCGTACTGTTCGCAGACGACACCAACCTTCTTTTCACTTCCAACAACCTACCAGATTGCTTTGAACTTATCAATCTTGAACTCCAAAAATACTCTAACTGGGTATCCAATAACAAACTAATCATAAATTATTCGAAATGTGCATACATTATTTTTGGCCCAAAATACTCACCAACCAAGCTCCTAACCTAAACCTATTAATTAACGGCGTTCCTATAAACCGCACCCTGTCAACCAAATTTCTTGGAATCACCATCACAGAAAATCTTTTATGGAATTCTCACCTACAAACTACCTCAGACAAAATCAACAAACTCACAGGCATCTTCTACAAAATCAAATATAAACTTTCTCTTTCTGCTCTTCGCACGCTTTATTACACATTCATCTACCCTTATCTAACCTATTGCATCACACTATGGGGAAATAGTCCAAAAAGCCACCTGAATAACCTAATACTCTCTCTAAAAAGATCAATACGTTTAATTTTTAACCTCAAACCCGATTCCCATACTAAACCCTTCTTCCTAGCAAAAAAAATTTTACCCCTTTACTTCATCTGTCTTTACTACTCTGCTTTATTCGTTTTTAAATTTATCAACAATCTTCTCCCACCTCACTTTATCAACTTCTACAAATTAAGTAACTCCGTCCAATCTACAACCACTAGACACACCCCTCTCTTCTATATCTACAAAACTCGCCTCAAATTAATCCAGACAAGCATAAAAATAACAGGTCCTAAAATTTGGACAGAACTTGTACCTCCCCATCTAAAAGCCATCATAAACCTACAACATTTCAAGTCAAAATTCCGTGCTTTTTTATTGATACTGGATCTCGACTCCACCACCTAATACTATATTAAGAATACGTTAGAACAAATGATGCGGGTGAATGGTCTTTATGAATGGTTAAACATTTATGTGTTTATATATGTACTGAGCGAACATAGTTATATGTCTATATATGTATGACACGAACATTTACTTATTTATCTTCAATTATCTTTCTGCTTCAGTTATTTTTCTTATTTTATTTCATTAACTATTCATGTGTCTACCAGCGGTGGCCACCACAAGACAAACAGTCTTATTCGGTCTCCGCATATTCAACTTCATAACTTTTATTCACTTATTTGATATGTTGTTGATTATGAATAAAACTTTGAAAATGAAATATATATATGATATATATATATATATATATATCATAAACAAAATCATATAACCAGGTACTAAACCTCCCCCACGAAAATAACAAAATAACTTCATTTGCATTCAACATTGTCTTATGTAAACTGTGAGACAAACATGTGCGAAATTGTAAAAGCAACAATAAACAAACAAACCAACAAACACAGATAGACATTTAGACAGACAGATATTCAGAAACAGCAAGACAGAGAAAGAGAGAGAGAGAGAGAGGGGGGGGGGACAAAGAGAGAGAGAGAGAGAGAGAGAGAGAGAGAGAGAGACAAATGTTTGGAAAAGACGGCCTCGAGCAATATGTGTTTATCGTTAAACGGATAATTTAATAACTAAATTATTGATGCAGCATCTCAGGGGATGCAGTGAGCATGCGCAGACGTTCCTATGTTGTTGTTTTTTTTTTCATAGTGGACGAACATTGGATGGGTGCATGCAGAAATGTCTAAACGAATAAATAAGTGGATGTAAGCACGTTCATATGGATTGATTGCTTTGCTGACATCTTGTCCTCTTTAATCCAGCTGAATGAAATCGGTTAATAATACGAGAGCAAACAAGTTTGTGGTTAGGAAAACTCTGCAGTTATGTGACATTGAAGTTTTGTCGATGTGCAATCATGGAGATCAGTTTGTAGATTGCTGTAAAAACACAGACGTTTCAAAAGTTTTCTAGAAAATGAAGGTAGTGAGGTAGCAGCAATATCTAACTTCTGCCATTAGAAACAATGTGCAATTTAGCAAAAAATTATCTTAAAGTTGTTTTGAAGTTTTCTCATTTAGTTTTCATATTATATATATATATATATATGTTTCAGGTTCAGGGAAAAATTTTTGCTCCCGGTTAAGTCACACAAAATGTTTTGAAAGTTTTTTAGTAACGCTTTTTATCAGAAAAAATGCAATTTTTATGACTCTTCCCAACCCCTAAATTTGGTCCTTTCTGTTTTCAATTAAATTATAATGTGCTATGGAGACCAAAATGATTTTCAAATGGTTATTTGTTTATAAATGTGGCTGCATGTATAAAATACAATATCAACATAAATTGGAAAATTATTTATGTCCGACCCCTAATTTCTTAAGAGAAAACACCCAGGAGTGGATTAAGACAGTTTTGACAGAATGGGGAGGGGCGGGGTCAAAAACCTAGCATATTATGTCGGAATTGACTTGAATTAGTTGGCAAACTTTTTATGCTTATTGCACAAATTATGCAAATTTTCCCTTTATTTTCCCAAATGTTGCTTTATGGGTAAAAACGGTGTTTAAATTAATAAAACAATATACGTTGACTAAAAATAAGAGTCAATAAATGTTAGCAAATGATTTATTTGAACAGCGCCCAGGTTTTCTTATTATTTGATGCCTTAAACGATTTGTACAGTTTCAGTTACAAACATTTCGTCAGTGAATGTTACAACCTGGTACTGGTTATAACGAGATTGTGTTCGTTCAAAGCTTTCTATGTTTTTTAAATTGTCCTAAAAACAAATGGCAATACTTAGAAATGAATGTTCTGATTTTAGAAATGTTTTGAAACGTTCCACAGATGGTGGTATAAAAAATAAAAACTATTTTCAAAGGTTTGTTGTAACATTTTCATAAAGAGAGATGATGGAGAGTAAAGATTCTGCTTTAAACAGTCAACGGATGTTGCTACATTCAACGTTAATTTGTTTTTGTTGTTTTTGTTTTTTCTTTTGCAAATGATCCAACTTTGCAGCTAGCAACAGGCGGCAGTACCTACATGAAACGATTGAAATGAAAATAACTCAATGTTAAAAAAAATAAAAAGTAACCAAAATTATGGAAAAATATGTTTAAAATATTTAAAATTGGGATGTAAAACTTTTATTATTATTATTATTATATAAAATACTTCTATAAACAACAATGTTTCAAAAGAGTCTAATAATATGCTGCCCTGCTGTTGCGGTAGACACTTCAGAGGTAAAAAGGCTTAATCATGCACCACAGATCCTGCAAAACGTTCAAATCTCGCCAAACATATTCACGATCGGCGGGAACAGCATGATTATCAATGAGCCTCAATCATTTCAACACAAATCTACCTCAAAAATAACGTCACATCTCCTCCCAGGAATTAAATTGCCCAAAACCAAACAGCAGTGGGAAGAGGCCAACGCATATTTTCACCATAAACTAAATGACCTTAACAATATTGAAGATATCGACAGTTATGCCCTCCTACTGCAAAACACAATATACCAATATTTCGCAGATACGTATGGCATCTTAAAACCAAAAGAATCAACAGTTGTCAACGTCAACGCCGACCATAGAAAACTAAAAAAGAAACTAAAAAATCTAAAAATCCTCGGTCAAAATGACAACAGTTTTATTGACGAAATAAAATGTCTGAGCAAATTGATCAGATTAAAAATTCACCGAGAAAAGATATCAAAAGCTGTCGGTCAATCAAAAATATCCGTTCAACTGTCAAAAAACTTCTGGAATACTTGTAAAAAATTATTTTCGTTATCCACACCACTGCCTCCACTGTTTGATGTTGACAAAGGGGCTGATCACTTTGGTGGCGTAATGAAAGCGGGTGATAGAACACATTTTGCAATCCCTGATTGGATCCCTCCTCTGCAACCGCCGGTGTTCAATGGCACTATTGACCCGCCAACTTACGAAGAAGTTTCATCAATTGTTCGTCGAAGTAAATCAAGCGCCTCGCCGTGCCCACTAGATCAGATATCTACTATAATGTTTAAGAAATGTCCAATCCTCAGAACATATCTGCACAAACTACTTTCAAAATGCTGGGTCGCATCTACAATTCCAGGTTGCTGGAGGAAGGGCTTAACAATTTTAATATATAAAAAGGGAGATGCCGACGATCCGGCAAACTATAGACCGATAACGTTACAACCCATTCTTTATAAAATTCTTTCAACATTAATAAAAAATAGATTGTATAACTTCTTTCAGAAAAATAACTTCATCAACACCAGCATCCAAAAAGGATTCTATCCTGATGTCGACGGCCTGGTAGAGCACACGCAAATGTTGACCCACCTGCTTAAAGATGCCATGAAAAATCAACGAACAATTATCGTCGCTCTTCTTGATTTAAAAAATGCTTTTGGTGAAGTGAGCCATTATCTCATAAATTCAATATTAACATTTCATCATGTTCCCAACATAATAAAATCAATGATAATGTCTATCTACTCGGACTACTCAATATTCGTTTCAATAAATAATAAATTAACATCGGCACTGCAGGTCGAGAAAGGGGTTCTCCAGGGTGATCCGTGTTTGCCACTGCTCTTCAACCTATGTTTCAATCCGCTAAAGAAAGTTCTTGAAACTCAAGAGTACACTGGCTGTGGTTAAATCTGGGGCCCAACGTCTGAACTGAAAACTAAATCCTGGCTCCAGTTTGCGGATGACTCGGCAATAATCGCCCATAGTTCTGAGGCCGCCTAGAAGTTGATCGATTTGAATTATACATGGTGCAATTGGTCGGACATGACAATGAGAATAGACAAATGCAACTCATTTGGCATGAGGAAAAAAGACGGTGCCTATGTTCAGTTTACTCCAAGGCTAACAATTAACAACGATGTTATTCCGAGTATAGAAATAGGAAAGAGTTTTGTCTACCTGGGCAGGTTATATGATTTTGAGGGCAAAGATACGGAGGCCAAAAAAAGAAATCGTTTTGAAATTGACAAAATTGCTGGATACCACTTCAGCTCTAGATATCAAACCACAACAAAAACTTCAAATATTGCGATATTTCATTCCTTCGCAGCTTCAATTCGAATTCCGAAGCTATCATTTTGCACCAACTTGGATATCGTGCGACCTGGACAATTTGATAGTAAATAATGTCAGAGAATGGCTTTCTATGCCTATTAGCAGTTGTGTATCGCAAATACTTTCGCTGCCAACGAAACATGGCGGTAACAACATTGTGTCATTAAAAGAGACTTCAGAAAAAATAAAATTGAAAATCCGCAGCTATCTAAAAAACAACACTAGTGATGAAATCAAATGCCTATGGAGCGAAACAACTTCAAATTTCATCAAATCAGATAGCTCGCTGGACGAAACAGGCTTGCTAAAGCTGTCTCTTAAGCTTCTGAAAAATGACAAAGTGAAATCGTGTCTCAACCACATCAGCGAACTGCGATCTCAGGGAATCATACTTAAAGCCATTGACCAGCATATAAGCCCAGCACAAATAACTTGTTGGTCCAAAACTACTGAGAAGTTATCCGGAGTACTTTACAGGTTCATAAGAAAATAACTGGTTCAACAATTGCCCACCAATTCAAATATGTTTCAATGGGGCTAAACTACGACTCCTTTATGTCCGCTCTGCAGCGTTCGCCAGACAAATAAACATGTCGTGTCTAACTGTTGTTCAACATCGGCACTGGCACGATACACCGAAAGACATAACAAAATTTTGGTGGTGATCATAAACGAGATAAAAGCTCAGGCTCCTATCGACTGTTGCATATTTGCTGATTTGGAATCGGAAAATGTACGCCCAATAACACAGTTGTTTCACACGCTACGACCTGATGTTGCTGTTCTGCGGGGTGGAAAAATAGAGGTGATCGAGTTGACGATATGCCATGAAACTAACCTACTCTCATCTAAACAATATAAAAGTGCAAAGTACAAAAATCTGAAACAACATTTAAATAATAAATTTATAAACTGCTCTATAACAGTTAACACATTTGAGATATCGCCAATTGGTTTTTATAATAACTTGAACCTATCTATTTTTTAAAACTACATGGCTAAATTATTTTAATGTAAAATTAATTAATACTGTTATTAGCTCGACATATAGTATTTATTGCGAAAGAAACAAGGCATAATTAAATATATCTTTCACTCCTATGCCCTTGTAACGTCATCGAGCTTAGGAAGATTGCACATTTCATTAAAACTCAATTTTTATTAAACTTCATTTTATTTGTCATTTCTTATTTCTTATTATTTTGAATTTTATTTTGTCGATTGAATAAATAAAATATGTTCACATTAATTTATTCCGCGCCCTATGCATATCTTCAGGGGCGCTTGGATAAGCAATGACTTTTGACTTTTCCATAGGCCTGGATAAACAAAAAGTTATTTAATCGTTTCCTAAAAAGTTTGATGGTTGGTTGTCGACGAATGATGGCAGGCAAACCATTGCATATGGAAGGAGAGCTGTATGAAAAACGTTTGTTGACAACTGATGAAATGCTGACAGGATGATGCAACTGAATATATGAAGACGAACGAAGTTGACGAGTTGATGATTTTAGTTAATGAAGGTATGATGGTTGAGATGTATTAAATTAAATAATTTGTACGTGAAGACGGCGAGTTTAAATGACGAATTTAAATATTTGGCAAACGAAAAATAAATAATAAAAGTATAAATAAACCAAATTAATTATTTAAACTTAATTATTATTAAAGATATGAGTGAAAAAGCAAGTAATTTGGGAATTTCGAAGAGTCCATTGCGAAATGAAATTAACGGCTGGTGTTATTTAATAAGCCAACTAGCATAAACCAACTCAAAGTGAACTCGTTTATTACCTTTTATTAAAATACAAACAGATGGTAGAATGGAAGCTAACATTTGAGGACGTCATTGAGAGCCTTTCTCTCCAGGCAAGCTGCTTTTTCGTTTTATTTACTTACATTCGTAATTATTCGGTGCAAAACTTGGTCTACCCCATTCATAAGATAACTTCCTATCAAATTTTTGATGATTTTTTTTCTAGGCAGAGGCACAATCTGGCAAGAATATAAATTAAAAAACAATTTATTAATTTGGTGACAATTTCTTATAGCATCAAGAGCTTACAAAGCCGTTAATATGAGAAAGACCACCAGGCACCTGGTCAGACCATCAGTCAGTGAAGGAAGGCGTAACACCAGGAAAACACTGTTAATGAATGTAAAATTGTTTGTAAGATTTTTTGCCAGGTGTTTGCCTGTTGGAAGAAAAAACTTCAAGACTATGAGGAAAGATTTCTATATACAAGTTTTACATATTATGTGATATATCATTTCTAATTATAACGTATAAAAATGCCTCTTTGATTTGCGAGTGTGTTACTCTCTCCATTTCAAAAATTAGAATTTTTAAAAGTGTTCATAGCTCAATCAATTGACTAAAAAATAATGTGATATCTATTATTTTGAAATTGAAACATGGAGTTTAATTATATTGCTTCAAAGCCAAAATGAGCTTTCTTGATTATTTCTAAAGTTTCAATTTAACTTTTTTATGTTTATTGTTATTATGTATCATCATCATCACCTTCTGGTTCATCATCATCACCATCATCGTCATTCCCATCATCTTCTATATCTTCTTCTTTATCATCATCATCATCATCATCATAGGAGGAAAAATTGTAGGTTCGCATAAATACATGAAGGCACGGAAAGAATAACAATTGTGTCTAATAAGAAAATACTTTAAAAAATGCATTATGCGAAGTTTCAGACTTTAAAAAGTTTACTGTTCATCATTTTAATTTTTTCATTTTTTCTTCATGGATACCAAACTGGCTCGACTAACACGAAGGTGAATCGTTTTATTTTGTATGTCGTTCATTTTTTAAAAATAGAAATCAAACAATTTTAATTCTACTCTTCCAGGGGTTCGATCAATTTTTCAGCACTGGCATGATTGTGAATATAAGCTTCTACGTTGTTAAATGTTTTCTTCAATATCGTGAATCAAATATTTTCATGCGAAACCACAAAATGGGATGGGTTGATGAAGTGTTTCAAAGTTATAGTCTGAAACTATTTTCAGTGAGAGATTAGGAAAAAATTTACTGAAATTTAAAAAAACTAAAATATTATTAGTTAAAAAAAATTATTTTATGCTTATTTTTAATAAAAAAATGTAACAATTGGCAAAAAAATGACCACACATATCATCAACCCATATTGAAGGTTGCAGTGGTTACTACGAGTTAACAGGGATCCATTGAATGATGTAAACTGGATCTTTCACAGGAAAAATGTTTCTTTAATTTTGTGAAGTATAAGAAAGACATGGCACAAGGTGATAGATGGGGTACATGTTAAAAGTGCGAAACAATATATAGGCAGGCTGAATCTTTTTAGATAATATTCGAAAATATTCAATAAAAACTATTTAAAAGAGAAAAACTTGTTGAAAATTCTTAAAAATAAATAGATTTTAATGCAGAAAACAAAATAAAATGGACATAACAAATGCGGATTTGCTAGGAATGATATGCATAGCAGACTGACTGTATGGTATCAATCTAATTGACTGACGTCTGTAGCACCTGTCTTCTTCCATGAAAGCATTCCAAAAATTTGCAGGCTGTTTGCTTCTCTGCTCCAATCAGAATTTCGCTTCCTCCATGCCTCTCAGTCAGAAAGGCATCCAAAGCACTCTTGAAATGAAAAACAAGACATCGCCCGCATTGTTCACTTCAAATAAACAAACCTGCAAACACATGCATTTGCGCGAATAACTTTAATAAGCAAGAAGCATGCTTTCAAGTAGAAAGAAACAAGCACGCACACGCATACACACATGTACATATGTATATATATATATATATTTTAGTGTGTGTGTGTGAGTGGGTGTGTGTATTTGTGTGCATTTAACATAAGTCTAATCTTATAGATTGCAAACAATTATATGGATCATTGAATATACAAAGGTAGCAAGCTATGTTTTGTATGTTGTATGCATCAATGATGTTCAACACAAATCAACTGCTAAAATGGAAAGAATTATTTACGTGAAATGTAAAGAATTTGAATGAATAAATGTTTGAAACTATCAAGCTCATCATCCTGCTGGCAGCATTATTGATTTTCCTATCATCTGACCATTTTTTAAACACAGTTTTGACGTAATATTTGAACAAATATTTTTTGTAATCTCATTTTGTTTTAGAACGTAAACTCTAAAAACGCATAACTTTAATTAGACGCTTCACCGCGATGATATGCTACCGATGGGACATTTCTTATTTACAGCGTTCGAACCATGTCAACTTGCAGTAACGGGGAACATGACACTCCTGTACCTTCACGGGTGAACTTCGCGAAACATTTTTGCAATATTTTCATTATTGCATCATTTCATTTTAATCTCATATTGCAAGAAACATTTTATGCATTTTTTAAATCCTGTCTAAATTTATTTATCACTCGATTCTTGTCCATCTGCCGACAATCAGTTCAACAAATTTTTAAAAATGATTTATTTGCTATTGCTCAACATCGAGGACTAATTTTTTTAGTCAACCAAAATAATTCAGACAACAAAAATCATTTTGTTTAAAATCAATTCTCATCTAAACCAAACATTAGAAGGGAAATAAAATTTTAAATGCCATCTGCGGCCACATGAATGTTTTTAATGGGCATGATTATGTATGAAGTTGGACTTTCAATTTATTCAAAAAATTGATTTTTTAATTTGAAATGATTTTATGAAACTGGTGAACTTTAGGTTAGCCGCCGATCCAACGACGCCAGAAAAATAGCCAAACATTTCACTAAAAAAGCAGCAGCCGAGAACAACTTGAACACTTTTTCACAGAAAGTTGATGTTTTATCCGCAATCGAACCAAATAGGAAACTCTTTGGAATAAAAAGTGCTACTCAAAAAAATATTCATTTGTCCAATCAAGTGATTGAAATTAAACATTCTGGATATGAAAAACTTGAAGCCACTACATTAAAAGTTAGATTAAAAACTATCAGTGCGTCAGAAAAGGTTTTAAAAGCAAATTTGAGTAATACAACATACCAAACATCATCGCCGACATCACCACGAAGTTCGTCACTAACCTCATCATTGCTGCTATCAAGACATTCATCGTCACCCTCACCCTCGTCACCACGGCCTACCCGCTCACATCAGGGAGTACCAACAAACTCACATTCGGGGACATCAGCGGCACCCCTCACAACCGCCCACTGCAAGTGGTCAACGTGGACGAAATGTTCAAAGAGCTGCAACCAGGAAAGATACCTCATGAACGCGAGAGCACCTGGAAAGCCACGTCATCCTCTGCTGGCACGCACCTCCCGCCTGCACACGCACGTCTTTCCATGCCCACCACACAAATCCCAACACAAGGAAAAGCCTACAGCGAGGAGCAAAATGTACGTGGACAGTGAACGGAGGAAATGCGTCACGGACAAGGGTTGTTTAAACTTTTATTGAAAAATACCAAGAATAGCTTATAACATTTTTAATGATGAAATGAAATGTTCTGTTTCAATCCTTACAAAATTGGTAGAATTAATTTTGGTAGTCATGAATTTTTGCATGTTTGTTCAATTTTTAATTTTAAGTTGAACGTAATTCCAAGAAATAACATTTTCAACTATTTAATAATAAAGCGTGGCAAATTAAAAATATCAAAGGCACTCTGTAGTAATATATTACAATATTTGACAATTTCAACAACTGCAGGCAAATGCAGTTTGGAGAACCAGACGAAACACTCGAAAGCAGCTGACCTGCTGCAAAAAGTGAACGACTTGATATTTTTCAGTTGGACTGGCTGGTCAGCATGCCAACTTGAAACGTGCACGAGAACTCGCAGAAGGTTCTGCGCTTCCAGGAGATGGTGCGAGGAGACGGAGTTGCTGGAGGAGAAGGCGTGCAGTAGAAAGTCCAAGGAGGGAACATGTTGTTAGCACCTACTGCGTTTTTTAATGGCGTTCAAACATTTTTATAAAATAAAAAGTAAAGTTGTTCTAAAATATCCTATATCAAATTTGCTACAGACATACTGGGCTATTTAAAATTTGTTATATTAAACTTCGTAAACATTTTTGAAAATAATTCACACAACACGTGTGATCTACTTTTTTTGCATTTTGGGCTAAAATCTGTTTAAAAAACTATAACGTCATATTTTCAGAATTACCAAAGAAGTTGGAAGTTTGGTGAGCAGTCAAATTATGTGGATCATTGTTGTTAACGTGACGCAGTTGTTGTTTCTCGTTGCCTGATGAAAACCTTCTCGTAAGTTGCTGCTCTCATTTGTCTTTAACATGAACAGCCAACAATACCCACACAGAAAATCTCAAGACTTCAGTGTTATGTAAAATAAAATATTTGCAATCTAAATGTTTGTCAATTTTTTTCTTGTCGTTTATCAATTTCGATCTCTTGTGTAGCAACCACGGATAATGAGCGAACAAAGTGTACAAACGTAATTAATGGCGTTTGATGTTAAAAATAATTTTACTCCATTTGATATTTGGACTGTTGTGACTCGGCCCCGTTAATATAAAGTTCTGACAACCCATTGGCTCTGGTACAGAACTGCTTCAAAATTATTTTTTGCTTTTTAAAATGTGTTTTCAACAGGAAGATTCAAAAAACTGTAAGCTGTTTGGCAACATAAAATTTGACAAAATTTTCAATGTTTGAATTCACTATTGTTTCACTGAAAGAAACAATTTCTGAACAAGCAATTTTGTAACCTAACTTTAAATTAGGAATTGAACAGTTTTTAATCCGGATTTGAATTTGAGTCGAAATTCTGGAATACCAGAAAGATTCTGATTTGTTCACATTTAATGCTGAAAAACGGTAAAATGGATCCATAGTTATTAAATTTAGTTAATAAAACAGTTCATTTATATATTTTTAAAGCAAAACCAGAGATCCGACTTCCGGGTTGCATACGTTCCCTGCCTAACTCTAATCCGAAAATTCAACACTTTTTTTGTATCATTTTAATAAAATCGTGTTTAATCAAATAGTCGAAAATTTTTAAAAGTAAAAAATGTGGATCGCAAAATTATTTTATTTTTGTTATTTTATGTAACAAATAAAACAATTAATAACAAAAATATTTTGAAGATTGTAATCAATTTGTTCAAATATTATGATGTTTATTGTTGATTTTTACTTATAAAGTCATTTTGTTTGTTGAATCTGAATTTGCATATTTCGTATAAATAGTTTGTTTTAATAGAAACCGACGAATGTTGTCCCGTGTTTATCTTCAGATTCAAAACACGACAGATATGACACAAACAGTTGTTGATCTAGAGATGGAGGGTGTTATTCCCAAAAATGGTTACCAGCAAATAATTTTTCCCACACAAGCACAAATTCGCTTAGTTTATTGGGTTCCCGTCATACTTATCAAACTTACAAATGTAAAATTTGTCTAGATCCGCCCCTGGCCAACAGACGTGAAAAATAACACCAAGTTTAAATTTGATTATTAATATAATGTAAGTGAATGGGAAGACATACATTCGATGCATGCTGTTTGTGCTGGGCTTTAAAAAAATTTGACGAAGATCATTGATATGAACAAAACAAACTTTTTAATGAGTTCTCAAACGTGGAAGATAAAATCATTTGTTGGTGTTTAAGCAGGTTATTAATGAAATTAGTTGGTTAAAAAATTTTTACTACTAAAACTCAACGCGATAAACCCTAAATAATTTTAGTTTACATAATTGTTTTCTACATTAATTGGAAAAAATGGAAACAATGTTATTAATTTAAAAAAATTATCTTTGAAATGATTTTTTAAACGCTTTATAAAATTAAACATTCTGATGAACATCAACGTGGATTTCTCATTCTAGAGAATGAATAATTCATAATAAACTAACTTTAAATAATGAGACGAACGTGCCGGAATGGTGAAGTAGAAAAATTCTACAAACAAAGTGACTGGTCGAAAGTTATTTATGAGTCTGTTGTCTCAACGGTCATACATTCGAATTACAGCTCGTCAGAAGTTCTTCACATCAGTGCCAATAATTAATAAATAGTTTTTCAGTTTTCTTTACATTCATAGAATTAAAAAGTACACAATGATGTATAAGTTTGTTAATTTTTGAATTACTACATGTTACTTGAAATGTGGTTTTTTGACATTTGTATAATACCTATGCATTTGGTTTAAAACCTTATCTTGCATGCAAAACACAACGTTCACAACGTTTCAGTAGCATTATGCAAACATTTCTTAAAGAAAGAATCTTTCTTTTCAAAACGAACAAGTTGCAGTTGCATGGATTAGTCCCGTTCTGAGGCAATTTCTTCTGATTGCTATGTTGTAGTAACGTTTCGCAGTCTTGTTTTTTGGATGTTCCATTGTTCTCTGCAGACGACATCCACTTAAATTTATTCACCAGTTCCATTTTCTAATAAGTCTGCCGAAGTATGCTCTATTATTTTTCGTCAAGTATAATTATTGCAGTGTTGCCTGCATTCAAATAAAATCAGAAACATATTTTATCCACTTTAATCACGTTAACTAATATAAATATCAAAAGATATGGGATCGGTCTCATTTTAGCTTGGCTCTATTTTAAAATTCGCCTACTATGAAGTTTGCATCTTTACGACGCAGCCAATTAAACAACAGTATTTTTATTTACTGCAAAATTAAGCATAGCAAAAACTAAATAATTATTTTTCAAAAATTAAATTTAGAATAAATATTACCAGAGCTTTAAAGTATCTCTGGTTGTATCATATGGGGTTGTGGAATAGTTGTTGGCGATTGAAAAACAAGAGTTGAAGCAACTTTTGGCAGTCAGAAGCCAGAATAGTAGCGGAGTATTTTTTCAAAAAGTCGGTGTCCGAGAATTTTCAATTAAAGTATTTGAGCTGGAAGAAGTTTTATTTTTAGTCAAAAATGAGACCAAGTAGCTATCCACTCTAGTACTTAGTAAAATAGTAAAATATCTACTGAAGAACAAGTAAGTTAAGAGATTTTTTAACTCTCCAATTCTACAATCTAAAAAAACATTTTTTCTTATAAAATATATTAAAAAGTTTTATTGAAATTACAATAAGAATATAATTTTTAATGCAATGACAAACATAAGGTATTCGAAGATAGATTATAATTGATAAAAAGACATGCGGCCAACTCCCATCGGTTCTCAAAATGTTTCGACTGCATACGCGTTGATTGAGACGAAGAGATGCTGCGAGACGTGCTGCTGCTCCTAAATAATGCTTCTCCCAGTCATCACCTCCTTGTCTATAGACTGGACATCGTAGCGTCAATACATGCGTGTGTGTTGCTCGTTCGTTCATTTGTGTGTGATGATGACTTCTTAGACGTGTTTGCTGCTATTTAAATTAACTCTTTCAAATAGAATTTGTTTGAAGAAATTTGAGAAAAAAAAAGATTTTTGCAAATTTATAACTTCAAAGAAGGTGAAGGAAAAATATTGAAGTCAATCTGGGTTATTTACATTAAAAGGTAATTTGTATTGCTCAATAAAAATAAATTTAATGTTTCACAATCGTACAGCAAATATCTGACGAAATTGAAATGAAAACAATTAAATCGTTGATTGACTTACGATTAATTTTTGAAAAAAATTCAAAGACTGTATGAAAATAAATGATCAGAAGAGCAACGTAAATATGGAAACATCGCAATCACGGTACACATGACGATCTGTTTGTTTGTTTGTTACGTTAAATATTCAACATCCCATGCATTAATAATTATTTTTTTTGATAAAAATAATTTCAAATTTATTCAATACTGTTATACATTTTATTTAATAAAATATTATATAATTCAGTTATAATAAAACTGATAGCAGACACAGTATTTCCAGTTTTCCTGTTTTCTCTCACCTGTAAGTTCTATATACACGAAACAATTACAAGCACGTATATAATGTGAAAATGTATATATATATATATATATATATATATATATATATATATATATATATATATAAGTATATATAACTTTTTTTAACAATTGAATTGAAACATTGAAAAAATTTTTGATGTTGCATCAGTTTTTGAATGTGGGCCACAAATGTTCGTAGTTGTCGCCGTTGATGTTGACAACATTGTTGAGGAGGTTATTGTAAACTTCTCCGTTCAAATGGTTAGTCTTCGTGCTATTCGCCTGCTTCATGCTCTGTTTGTTCTCATTGTTGCCAACATAATCGCACAGGTTGTTATTGTTGTTGTTTGTGATGTCGTTGTTTGTGATGTTGTTGTTTGTGATGTAGTTGCTTGTGATGTTGTTGTGTGTGTTTGTGTAGCTATTGTTATTTGTTGGCATTGTACATGATAATTTACTGCTGCTACTTGTTTCAAAAGATTTAACGAGGAGAGAGTTGTTAAATTTGTTGTTGCTGTCTGCAGCAGTTGTTTTACAGAAGTTGCTGGTTGTTGTCAGCTGTTGGATGTCGTCATTCGCAAGACCTCCCCTGCAGCAGCAGTGACAAAAAGTTATTGTATTTGAAGGAGTTGTCGTTGCGTTGTTGCTTGAGACGTCCATAGGGGGATGGGGACTGCCGAACGTGGGGACGGACTCACTGCTGGGTCTAACATCATTCAAATTAGTTCAATAATATTCAAACAAGTATATTAGCATTCAAGCATGACAACATTTAAAGAACTACATAAATATTTGAACTAATAGAAAAACATTAAAACAAGTTCAACAACATTTAAACAAGAACAATATAATACATCTAAACTTGAATAATCAGCGAATGTTCGGCCGCCATAGACTTCGAGACTTCGACAGTTTATGCAACCCATTAATGCATGACTTTTTTTAATTAAATTTTGTCGATGGAATGGTTGAATACATGCCAAATATAAGTATTTTAAACATATAACATTTTTATAATTGAAAAAAAAATTATGGCAAAAACAATTTAAGTCCCATATATGGAACGCTATGCATTGAACCATATTCAATGCTGAATATTCATAAAATGTTATTTAACATAATTTTAGTGGTTAAATACATTTGACTGACTTTCATGATTATAAAATATATAAAAGCAGTTTATATGCAAAAAACATCCAGAATGGTCAAAATTGCAGAAAATTGAAATAAACTAAGTAGTTGAAATGTTTGCAAATCTCTTGTCTACGATAGTGAGGTACGTGAAAGTACATGATGAAGTACAGAGGTCAGTGAAGCCGCACGAACGTGTCAGAACGTATATATATGTGTGTGTATATTTATATGATCAACAAATAGTATATATTTATATGTATATATGAATATATTTAGGGTTGAGACTAAGAAATATCTTTGCAATCATTCAGACGTGCGACAATACGTAATAACTAATAATCAACATATTCAGAATTATGGTGCCCACACTTGACGACGAAGATCGTGATGACTAATTAAATGACCGTTAAGAATTCACTTTAGACAAACAAAGAAACAACATTGGAGAGGAATATATACTTGAGCATCTGGCCACATGCACAACGTATCCATTCGAAGACCGAAGATGGTATAGGAATACCGATATATATATATATATATATATATATATATATATATATATATATATCGTAATATTACTTGAGTCTGACATAGTTGACTAAAAAGCGGATAACGTATTGAATGCGAACTTGTTGTCTGCCTGGTCTCGCAATGGTCTAACTAAACATGTACCTAATAATGAACTTGTTTTCATTAAAAACGTAAGCAGCTAATAAAGAAAAAACACAGCAAATGATAAACATGGCATACACCAAAAGAAAAAAACATAAGAGATTTGCCGTTAGGAAACAAAAAGGAATGAAATTTGTCACACGGACGCAAAGCTTTCAAGAGTGGGTGCAAGATGCGATCATCCTCTTGCTCAATGCAACGTCATGATGGAGATAAAAATTAAACCGCGAAAAGAAGAAAGAACAAAGACAGAAAGTTGCAACACAACATAGAAATTATGGAACAAAGGAAAAGATAATAAATATGATTTTTTTTAAATAAGAACTTAAAACCAGTTTAAACATGAAGTCATTAATTTGGTAACAGCACTCAAAACCACAAGCATTTGGTGGGAGGCAACTATCCTTATTCATTCATTCGTTCGTTCGTTCGTTCGTTCATTTATTCATTCATATATTTATTCATTGGCAAAACCAATCTATAAGGTCAAACAACCAAATAAGAATAATTGTAAAATAAATTCAAATAAAATGAGAGAACTCATACATTTCCAGATGTTACATATTTGTGGACCAAACGGAGCGATGAAACGATAGAGCGGATCTGATGTCATTCGGTGAATCTTTCATATAAAATATAAAACCGTGGATAATTGTTGAGACATAAAAACCTTTAAAAGGAAAATAAATTCTGTAAGTCAAAAAAGAGAATGTAACAAAAACTGGAACAAATACAGAACACTGTGTCGCAAAATATTGGAAGAGTGGTTTTGTATTTATCAAAACAGTGCTGGACACGAAGAAATTTTTGATGTTCCCTACCTACATCGTTCTATTGTATGCATGCAATACTCCACAAGAAGGAAAAGAGATGAAATCCGATTGAAAACGTTGGAAAATTTAGGGCTACAGAAAATTGTGAGAAATCATTTAGAGACAGTAAATAACAATGACAATAATTAGAAAACAAAAAATACATGCAGCAAAGTCGAAATAATGAAGCCAGGACTTTTGGGAGGATATATTTTGAATGCTGTAGATGTTACTGGCTCATTGAAACTGTTTTAATGGGAAGATAAAATGCGAAACTGGAAAATCAGCTAAAGACAATTTTGGTAGACATTAGAGACGGGCCAGAGTAAGTACGTGGCATTCAAGAAATTGGAATAAATATAGAAAAAGATTTAGAAAATAATGAAGAATGATAGACACCATTGACCTCAACGGTTCCTTGAGAAATTACTTATTTAATTGATGATAGAACATCTTGTAGTTTTTTTATAAACACTAAAATTATGACTGTTCCTTTTTCGGGACACTATGCAGTGCATTGAATGGTAAATTTACTAATTACAGATATTCACTCCATGATGTTGTTAGCATGTTAGAAGATGAAAAAGATTTTTTTTCAGCAGATATCATTATGCTACCACCTGATGATCCCAACTGTTCAGATCAAGATAGTGGTCCTGAGGATGGGGAAGGAATTATTGACAATTTATCAAAAACTTTATTGAATTCAAATGCTGAAGCATTAATTTCCAACATTGAGGCAGGCAAAGAAATGCTTCAGAAAGAAGAAATTGATATGCAAATACAAACACCATTAAAAAAAAGAGTGAAAAAAAGTATATCAATTGAAAGAAATTGGAAGAAGAGTGACATTTTGAATGTAGAACCCATACCAGTGTTTTCTGAAAATAGAGAATTTGAGAATTCATCTCCTCACACTCTGTTTAAATTATTTTTTGATGATGAAATAATCAAATTCATCACTGACATGTCTAATTTATATGCTAGTCAGAAGTTGAAGCAGTTGAATGCCACTGAAGAAGAATATAAAGTGACATTAGCGGTTTTGCTCTTATCGGGTTATGCTCCTCTGCCAAAATCGACGAATGTATTGGGAACAAAGCAATGATGTTCATAATTTAGCAGTGAGTAATGCCATCAGTGTGAATAGGTTCGAGGAACTTCTCAGATATTTACACACATGCGATAACGAAAAAATTGACAAAAAAGATAAAATTGCCAAAGTTCGACCTCTGTTTAATATGTTAAATGAAAGATTTTTAAAATATTGGCCAGAAGAAACTTGTTTATCAATTGACGAGTCTATGATACCATATTTTGGTAGGCATTCCTCTAAGCAATTTATAAGAGGTAAACCTATCCGATTCGGATTCAAAATTTGGTGCATGAATAATCGTCTCGGTTATTTAGTGAGTTGTGAACCCTATCAAGGAGCCACTGAAGATTATGATCCAGATTTAGGACTCGGTGGATCAGTAGTTAAAAAACTGACATCATGCCTTCCTGATGATAAGAGATATCATTTATTTTTTGACAATTTTTTCACTTCGTTCAAATTAATTGAACGACTAAAAGAAAATCATATTTATGCAACCGGTACAGTTAGAATTAACCGAATAGAGAAATGTCCATTGATGGATATAAAAGAAATGAAAAAATTACCTAGAGGCACATCTGACTATTTTACAGATAGTGATTCGAATATTATTGCGGTTAGATGGAATGACAATAGTGTGGTTTCTATCTTGTCAAGCTGCAATGGGCTGGAACCAATGAAGGAAGTGAAAAGATGGTCTTCAGCAAACAAGAAGCATGTTTTAATATCCCAGCCATATATAATAAATCAATATAATAAATATATGGGTGGAACTGACAGGATGGATCAAAACATTGAAAATTTGCGCACCAATATTCGGATTAAAAAATGGTGGTGGCCGCTTTTTGCTTTCGCTTTGGATTCTAGCATTCATAATGCTTGGTGCATTTCCAAAAAATACTCAAAGCATGAAAATCACACTTATGCTGGGTTCAGGAGAAGTGTTGCCAAAACTATATTTGGGCAAAACCAACCAGAAGATCTGAAAAGAAAATCAGTAAACCGTAACGTTGAAAATGAAATAAAATTTGATGGAAAAGACCATTTCATTGGAAAAATTTCGGATGGACGAAAAAGATGTAAATTGTGCCACAAGAAAGTATCAAAGAAATGTTTAAAATGTGATGTTGCCCTACACTTGGAATGCTTTGAACATTTTCACAGGAAATGATTTACCATGAGTATTAACTCATAACGTACCTTTTTAGGAACACTTTGTTTTTTGATCATAACTTACTTTATTTTTTTTAAATTTCATTTTAATTGGCTTTTTTGATGTTTTGAAACTATGCTAAATAAAATATTTCAAAATCACAAAAAAATTTTAAGTCATGCATTGGAGGGTTAAACAACTTATACCACATTCTAACCGCATTTAAATATTATTTTATTAATTAATAATTTTATTCCAATTTACGTTTTAAATTTCAACTAAAACTAAAGAAAAGTTAATATTAACAACAATAAATTTAAATTTAACATAAAATTTTTATGATTTCAACAAAATGATAAATAAAAAAAGGAAAAGACGAGCGCTCGACTGAAAATTTTAAAAATTTCATAATTGATTTACATTAGAAAAACAATTACATGCAGTCAAAAGATGAAAGAACTCACGTTTTAAGTTTGTGAATGGCGATGATGAGGATGGAGACGACGAAGATGAAGGTAGCGAGGATCAATACGAGGGAGGCTATCACTGGAAGAATGTACTTAAATTTTTAATTATTTCTTTTTCATGTTGCTTTCAAAAGCAAAAATGTTCAATCTTTGAATTACTCACAAAAAAGAAAAATGCTTTCAATTACGTTTGAAAGTTAATTCAACGATTCAAACGTCGTCGCTTTGAAGTTGAATATTCAACGTAAGACCTCCATCACATTTCCATCTTGCATTTTAGTTTTACAAAAATATACATTTCCATATCATGCACCAAATAATTATTTTTAAAAAAAATGCAAAAATACAAACTAGATGAAACAATCGCGTTTTGTTTATTCATATATTCGCTAAACTTGAAGATTAATAACGTGAATGAAACTTTAGCAGGAAGAATTAACTTTAGATAAACTTGGAAGAATATTAGAATAAAAAGAGCAGAGTGATCTTACAATCAAATCCAGCTCTTCGTGAATCGTCTTCTGTCGAGTAGTCGATGATGACGTCATTGTAGTTGTGGGCGTCGACGTAATGGTATCTGGTTGGGAAGCTGTTTGTGTTGTTGTGGGCTGTTGAGTACCTGGTGAACTGCTGTCGGGGAGTGTGGCTCAGGTGAGTTGCTGGTGTCAACAGGTGGATTGAGGGAGGGGCAGTGCTGGCTGGAGTGCTGGTCGTCTTCTCTGTCGTTCGGCGAACATTCACGTTTTATTCGTTTTCAATATTTTTTAATTAAAACAGTTTGATAGCTGCGCTAAATAAATGCATGTTTGGTGAAAAATATCTTCGAGTGAGATTTTAATTTAAAGTCTCTATTTTTTTTATAATAAAAATCTGAATTAATAAAATAAACCGTTTGAAACTATGCAAACCTTTATGATGATAGATTTTTGTGTCTTTTGCAAATGCAAAATTAACTTTGAGTTAAAACAACTCAACGAAAAAACAACAACGTGGCTTCATTTATGATACTCTTGCAGAAGCAATTTCAAACGATGTTTAAATATCTTTTGGAAAAGTTTAATGGTGGCTGATGTGATTTAATGTACTCAAATATATGAGGCATCACTCACGCATTTCATGAATCCTCAACAGATATGAAAGTAGATCAAGATTAAAATCTTTTTTCAACTCTATATAGTTCACATTTTTAAAAGATGGTTTCCTACGGAATGCAAGTCACTGATGATGATGATGACACTAAAGTTTTTAAAAAAAATTTTCATTGAGCTTTTATGCTAACGATATTTAAATTCATTTTGTCATCAGTTGACATTTGAACTTCAAATTGATTATTTGTTAACGACCAAAGTCACCATCGAGGCCATTCGAGTTTTACGTAACGCTCCAAGGATAGAGAGAAGATTTAAAATTTATTTTACGGACGATTCTAAATCATTCAAATTTCAAATTGACACATATACATTGAAATATGTTTGAAGGAAAACTGATACACTTAGCTGAAAAGTTGACGTTGTTAGATGTAAAGTTTTATGGTATAAATAAATTTATAAAAATAAATATTAAAGAAGTCAAGTCGTTAGCTGCAGGAGTGTGACAGAGTGTGGGGCGGGAAAACGTTCGGTTGCTTGCTTAATCACTTTTTATGCATTCAATTAACCATCGAATGCTCTACCTTTGATAAGATGTCAGTAAAATAAAAACAAAGCCAGCGATGAACAAAGCCATGATTCAAACATATTTTCTATCAATACTCGGAACTAATGTAATATTTATTAGCGTAAATAGATCGCATTTCAAATTAATCTGAGGTACAAGGCCGCTCTCGCACGCTATAGATCAATTTTTAAGACTAGCAATATTTATTACTTTCGTAAGTTGTTTTTGGTATATTTTTGAATCTGATACAATTTTTCTCCGGATGTTTTTCTGCGATCGTTTTGGTTGGCATGCTAACTCCTCAGTGAAACAACAAATAAATTTTATTAATAATAATGAAATTTATTTCGTTATCTTTCATTATTTTGTGTACTATAACATTGTAAATGCATTTTGAATTGTTGAAACGTGAAAGTTTTAATACAATTTTCTCCCAACTTGGAGCGGACTTTCGTCCAGTACTTCATTCACTGACTTTCAATCGAATCAAACTTTTGAATTCTACATTGCAAGGATTTTATAAATTTTAAAAATATTTACAGAAATGTGCGGATAAATGTTGGGGCAGCGAAAAAGCATCATACATCTTTGAAAACAAAAACTTCCTTTGGTGAGAATCGTTAATAAGATTGCGCTAATAAATTTGAATGCTTCCATTTGATTATTGCAGACAATATTCGCATCTTCTTCTCAGAAAGAAGCAAATAAAACATCGTATGATGACTTCTTGGAAGGAAGTTTTGAAATAATATCAGCCTTATAAAAATTTGTAACTTTTGAACAAATGGCATTTTTATTCTTTAAATTGAACACTGCCTATCAAAAATAAAGCCTCAAGTTGCCATATTTGTTTAATTGTATTGTGAGTTGTATCTATCCAGCAGATCTAACTGATTGGCTGATTGGCTTACAAATATTTTCTTTCGTAGCTGCAATTAAAATTTACGCCTATGCACCGCACACTTCAATACAAACATTTACAGCTTATGCAATGATGTTTTCAAAATGTTAAGTTACAATTTTTTTATAATTTAAAATTGGAAGCTTACTGAACAGAGGACATTGTTTTTCGTTGTTTTGTCCAAGCCAATAAGAATCGTTGCACGTGATTGTCCATGTAACGTCATCATCATACAAACAACCCATGTGAGCATGATTATCTGACTGACGACTGAACCAAACCAGTTGATTGAGGTAGGGTGGGTCGGGACAGCCGATTGCTGAGTGGTTGGTTATTTGATTGATTGGTTGGTTGATTAATTGGTTGGTTGTGTGTTTAGTTAGTTAGTTGGCTGATTGGTTGGTTGATTAATTGGTTGGTTGGGTGTTTAGTTGGTTGGTTAGCTGATTGGTTGGTTGGCTGATTGATTGGTTGGCTGGTTGGTTGATTGGTTTGTTAGTTTGTCGATTAAGGGATTTTTTGGTTGAAACATTTTTTCAATAAATTTCAATGTAGAACATAGAACATTAATATTTTATAAAAATTAATTAATTTACAATTTAGCTTATTTAATTGTGAATTACTTTGTAATACAGAGATGGATTTTTTTTTTCTATAAAGATTCAAATTGAAATTTATATTTAATTTTTGGGAACTGTTTAATTACGTATTACATAGTGTTCAAATATTAATTTATTTATTATTGCTATAAAAACAACAACCTTTCAAATTTCATACCCATAGTGTTTCAAATATTAATTTTATATCATTACCTGGGTCTCTTAAAAGTTCACAAAATGCCAAAAAGTTGACGAAATATGTTTTTAACAAGACTGAGTGCAATTTCATTTGGACAAATTATTTCTAAAAATCTGTTTTTATGTCGAATGCTTGAAGTTGGGTTCCAACAGAGGTGCCGAAAATAGTTACATTTAGACGTGAAAGAGAACTTTGAACAGTTTGGCCGCAGTTTGCCTTTCAAACAATTTCAATTACGAATATAAATAAAATAAAACTGAAAAACAAACTGACTGAAAAACGCTTGTAGAAGCAATGCTAAAAACTCCAAAAAACCAAAGTTATAAAACTGGTGAGCAACTTCCAGTCAAAACTATCTTCTGCCATTAAGACAATGTCAGCTGCGGGCCGCACTGTCCCAATTTTTGTCAATGAGTCTAATATATTGGTTAACAATGTGGCCCTTTTTTAAGAAGTTTGCGCACCAATAAAATATAAAAAGTTTTTGTAGTATTGACACAAAAATGAGTATAACAATGTTATGAATATATTGTCAGATAGTTTAATGAAAATATTTTGTTGTAAGAAAGAGCTGAACATCATTTAATTGAACTACAGGGTCATAAGAATGATGGAGTTGTTCACGGTGAAGTTTACATTAAAATAAAATATTTATAAATGAATCTTATCGTGATTGAAATTTTGGAAGACGATATGAACGTTATGAACGTGAATAGTTTGAAAAGAAGCAAATGGAAATAAAAACGCGCCAGTGCGGTCGCTTCATCGTCAAGTGGGATAGAAATTTGCATCTGAGGGGGAAAGTTTTTTTGTGACTTGTTGCTTAGGCATGCATGGCACACACGTCCTGCACAGTAACTAACTCGCCTTATCCCAAGCAGTTTTCGAATGCAATTTTCGTTTATTTGATTTGAAAATGTTTTTCAAACTTGCTAATGATATTGTGTTTAAGTGGAAACGAAATGTTTAATTCTTTATAAATGCATTCTTCAAAAATACCATTCAGCTATTACGATGTGATGTTTTCTTGATTCCGATTCAATGTTTTAACAACAACAATAATTATAACATAAATAACAACAGTAAGAATGATGTTTTTATTCAAAATATAATACAAACAAAAACGTGAACAAAATTTTAAACAAAACGATCGGCAAAAGCCACTCATTGGAAATATTTTTAACACTCAGTTGATCAGCATTGTTGGGATTAAGTTTAACAAATTGTATTGAGTTACTTAATTGTTGAAAGTAAGAGTTGAAAAAAGTTGAACAAGCTTACTGAAAAAAATTCTTTCGCTACGGATTTCAACTTCTCAGAAAAAAAACATATCAAAATTATGCCGTCATATTATCAACAATTGTCATCAATTCGTACCACGTTATGAAAATATGAAGGACCGATTCTTAACTACTTTTTGAACTACTTCTTTCTAATACCAAAATGTCTCATGAACTATCTTTTGTGATAACTATTTAAAACTATTTCATATTTTGTTCATGTATAAAGTTTAATAATTGTTTCACATAATTTCCCAAATTTATTCGCTAGTAGAACAATTGAATGTTGTAGATCTAGCAAAATATTGATTTTAAAAATCTTTAAATTTCTTAATGACTCCGAACAATTGAATCTAAAAACTCAAGTTCTCTGAATCTATTATGCTCTCTTAATAACTCAATTTGAATCTTTTGAAAAGATTCTTCATTGTTTTGTTTTGTGTAGGGCAGTGTGTTGTTATTTACGACGGTGAACAAGTCATTGTGGCTGCATTAAGTCTTTTGTTCGTCAATTTATTGAACAATTGCAGCAAATATTTGCATTGTTAGTCAAATTTTAAAAAAATTGCTAAAAACTGCTAAAAATTTTACAAATTATGAAAATTTTCTCTTTGTTTTTTTAAACTGTGACTATTAAATCAAATTTATATAACGCGAGGAAGTGATAAAAACAGTAACTGCAATAGTGGTGGGTTAGTGTTGGTTGGTGTTAACCTTTCCAACAAAAAAATTACCTATAAAATTCAAACAGTTGAAGTTATTAACCATAAACGAACATACCGTATATATATAAACTCACGTGAACAATAATACATCTATAATTTTTCATATAAGGATAAAAAAAATTTTTTTGAATTCCATATTTAATATTTTCATAGTTTTTAGTTATTAATTTTGTCAGGCCCTTAAAACTACCAGCAAATTTGATGCAACCATCACAACACAGCACCATTTTTTGCAATTATATTGTGATAAGACTAAATCTACAGAATGACAAACACACTCTGCATGGATAATTTACTTGCAGAAAAACAGCACCGTCTTTAAGTAAATTGTTACATTTTGAACATCCGTTCTTAGTAATTAAAGGAAGTTCAAAATTTGAATTGAAAATTAAATGTAAATTTAAAAGAATGCAACTAATTATCAAATTTAGCGATTTTAACACAAATTTATAACACAACATCTCAAATAATCCAGCCAACACAAAATACATAGGTGAGCACTTTTAATGATAACAACCCAAAGCTATTTAAGCTAAATTAACATACATAAAAACGCACACACAAATAATTTACACTACGATTTTTTCAACCACAAAAATGTACAGCCAATCCAATTTTTTCAAAAACGCTAAAATCCAGAAACAAAAATAATAAAGAAATGTAATGATGCATCAGCGGCATGTGAATCGTCGTCACCATCGTGTTCGCCACGGCGTCAGAGACTTCATCACGCAACTTGTCTCGTTGGGGTGAGTGCAGACTTATTTGTCGCGATGCCAGCTAATGATTCACATAAGTTGCCCGGCTCAATTGCAACATCAGTCAATGTGACAAAATTATTAGCGACTTCCACTTTCCAGCACACCTTCATTTATAAAAAGTTTGTACGTGGAAGAAGAGGCGTGCGGCGGCGAAATTGTTTGATGGTGATTGAAGAGGAACGTGACAGCAAGCTGAATGACAATGTGAGATCAAGCTGGCAATGATGGAAGCCATGAATACGCATTAACAAACTGGATTGCCGCATATTTCTCATACTAATGAACATTCCCCGATACTGTTATGTAGATGATCGTTACGCAACAACCTTGAATACATTGAAGGTCCACTGAATATTACAACGCATGCAGCTTAACGCCGGACACTAGTTAGTGGCGGTTGTACATACACCCCAGTAGATAGATTCTCGTTGTGTGAGTAGGAGAGTAAATGGAAGACATGCAAGTTTAGTTGGTTTGTTCGTCCAAAGTTCTTAAGACAGCTTAGGAAGGTGCAATAGGCATTCGAGAGAGCAGAAGAAATTAGAGACAGAACAGACGAGGAAAACTTGATAGGTAGCACAAAACACTCATGTTTGTTAATTTTTGTATTATTATGTTTTATGATGAAAATAATTCTTGAAGCAATTCAACCGTGTCGATTTATAATTTTGGTAAAGTAACACACCTCAAGTTCCATCAACAAACAGAAACAGGTCACTAGCTGTGGTTACACTGCTTTAAAATTTAGAGGAATCAACAGCCCACAAACAGCATGTATGAATATGTGTTAAACGACGCATTACGAGACACACACGAGGCATGTGGAAGGCCTGGATTCGTTTTTCTTATTCCAACCTGGTGACTGACTGCACGGACTGCGGAACAGAACCAGGCGTCGTCAACCATCATCGGCCACCACGCCACACAGTGCACAGGTAAGCGAGTAGCAACCAACTAATTTGAAATTTTCCAAAACCATTTTAAAAATATTTTGATCAGAATACTTCACATAGTATAATAGAAAATTAATCAATGCATTATAGTAGAAAACTTTAAGTCTGTATTAAAAGAACACAAAAACTTCATAGAAATCTCTCAAATGTTTCTATCATTCCAGTGATAAAAAGATGGAAAGTTGAATGTACGGATGATGTTGTTGATGTTTCAAAACCTGGAAATAGTAAAACTAATTTGTGAAGCAAACACGATAGAGAAAAATTAGCAGCAGTCTAGGGTAAGAAACGAGCGTGATGATGGCAATTAATCATTGTGTTGGTTGGTCGGTCGGTTGAATTGTGCTGCAGGCCAGACTGGCATGGGTCGTACATAGTTAGGAGGACAACTTCGTTACTGTTGTTGTCGTTGTTGTTGTTGTTGTGCAACTGAATAAATCTATTTGTTGTTCATTAATTTTTATTCAACTTGTTGTGCTGTTTAGTTAAATAGATATTAATTCAATGAAAGTATTGCTTTTAGATGTCGCATTTAAATTTCTGGTTGAATGCCTCAAATCACTCGTTAATATTGTTTGAAAAGTTTTTTAGCAATGATATTATCAGTTCATTTATTTGTTTAGCTACTTTTCCACAAATGAAATTAAAATTATCAGCAGCAGAATTCAAATTGAACAAATAGCTCATTTCATCTGAGATGTCTTGGAGACATTGGACACAATGGTTGTTGCACTTGAGAGGTTTTCAGAAAATTATAAGCAGCAGTAGTTGAGACTGCAACACGTGAGCGGACGTCGTGCTAACACGTTATCACACGGTTTATAATTTCAGAGATCGGAGCGATGTAATAATGAAAATAAAAATATTTCCACTGTTGATGCTAACTATCTGCTGTGGAATGCGTTATGATGGGGAGTACGGTGTGGGACTGGAAGGAAGGAAGAAATTAAATTTCATCATAACGAAGATGATTCAATCAATCATTCATTGCGGGTTGATGCTTTGATGGAAGTTTTGCGTGCTTCCAAGTGGCCGATGATTATGATGGGAGGGAGGTTTTACACGCTGCCTCGCTGCCTGGCAAGCTAACTAGACTGGCCTCAAATGACGTCAACCACAATCCTTCTTCCTCTTCCTGTACTTGCTACTGCTGTCGTGTTGTGTTGTAATGTAATAAAAAATCATTGACGATCGCTATTTAATTTTCTTTGTCATAACTTCTGTCTCCGTTGATTTAGTTACTAGTGGTTGGTATCTCAAACTTATAACTCATACTTGAGTGAATTAACCTGAAAGGTTTATCTTGAAATTAGCAACTTTGAAATTATGACTTGAAAATTATACTACGGTGCTCCTTAAAAACGTGAAATATTTTCAAATAAAATGTTGAAGTTTTGTTAATTACAATGCAAAAATATGTCTGAAAACATGAAAACAATGTGCAAATTAGGAATTCTGAAACGATTAAAATGGCAATTAACAAACAGTAACAGCACATGTGGATATTTTAAAACAACATGAAAAATACTTAAGCACTTGAACCTTCCAGATAAATTTTTTTTTAAATGAAAAAAAGAGCCACTAATAAATTTTATTCTTAAAAGTCAATGAGACGAATCACTTGAAAGAACTTCGAGCAACGACGGCATTAAAAAATTACAACATCACGCAAACAACTCCTTTGAAACTCTCTCTGTCAACACGCTTTAATAAACCAAAAATTCCAACCTACAAATTAACATTTCTAAGAAAATGTTTCAACAATATTTTTTAACATTTCGTTTCATTGAGAGTAAAACTGTAATGATCACCAAGCTGTGCAAACATGTCTCATCGCCACATACAACAAACATTAAATAATTTTTAGTAACAACCTCTAATCTATGAAAACAAAATTTGCGAAACTCACCTTAATTGCAACATTTTTTTAATCCAATAAAATACAAGACAATAACTAATTTCGCGTAGAAATTTTATAAATACATAAATAAATAAATATTTTATTTTCATTTCATTTTCAAAGTTTATACTCAACGACGTATCAAATTAGTGAATAAAAGTTATGATGTTGAATACGAGGAAACCAAATAAGACAGCATGTCTTGTGGTGGCCACCGTAGGTAGATATATGAAAAGGGCGCAGAGAGAGAAATTTTATATTTGATTCTGCAAAAGATGCCATGAGTGTTGATTTTTCTGATAATGTATGCACATTTAAAATAATTTATGTTCAGTTTGTTTACGCATAACCAAGTAGAGTATTTTTGGAGTTCGAAATTGATAAGTTCAGAGCAGTCAGGTAGGTTGTTGGAAATGAAATGAAGGTTGGTATCGTCTGCGAGCGGTATGCATTTGGTTGAGGGCAAAAGATTGCAGAGCAGAGATCATTTATGTAGATAGAAAATAGAAAAGGTCCAAGTATGGAGCCTTGTGGTACGTCGTGATGAATAGGAGCAGGCTTTGAAATGATGTTGTCCATGGAAACATATTGTGTCCGTGATGAAAAATAGCTTCTCATCCAGTTGTGAGCTGTGCCTCTTACTCCGTAATGATTTAGTTTGGATAGGAGTATTTTGTGATCGATGACATTGAAGGCTTTGGATAAGTCCAGGAAAATGCCAATAGAGAGATTTTTGTTGTTAATTTTTTAGTATGTGCTGAGTGAAGTCAAGAATGGCAAACTGAATGGAACGGTTGGATTTGGACTCAAATACAACAACATTGCAAAAAGAGATGCAACTTTAGATGCACCTCCTTAAGGCCAGTTATAACTTCTTTATATTTTGCTCGAGATGGTTGCAGAGACAGCAACAAGAACCTGCAGCAGCAGCAACAAAATTTTCTAACCCAAGTCAATCAACATAATTTCTGAACGCTCGTCGCAGCAACACCCATCTCGATTTTTTGAGAGAATCGAAAATGCGCCTACAAGAATGAGAATAACATATAATCTAATAAAAAATTATTATTAGTAATAGTAGCAGTAAAGTCATACTAATACGCAACTACAAAAATAATTATTGAACACCTTCCAAAATATCGCAGTTGATCAAAAATACAAACAGAAAATGTTGTAGCGGATTTAGTAAAAATTGAAACAGTTGGATAAAATTTTTTCGTTCGAGTGAAAAATATTAAAAAGCCTCGTGGAACAATAGAACATAAAAAAAATTAAGAATATGTGCGTTAGTTTCTCTCTCTCTCTCTCTCTCTCTCTCTCTCTCTCTCTCTCTCTCTCTCTGTGGGTGTGTGTGGTGTGTGTGATAAAAATTATTTATTATGATGTAAAAATATTTCTTATGGTCGTAACATATTTGACATTTATTTTTGAAAAATAAAATCTTGGTAGTCTACAAAATGAATACAAAATAAATACCAAACGAGTGGTTAATTGCTTTAAAAATGAATGTTGTTATGAATGATATCTTTCATCCAGTGTGGTTGGAGCAGTGAGCACAAAAAGATTTCATCCAACCAGCCATAAAAATGCCAAATTCAATGGAGCGTACAATTTTAATAGCTTCAAATTTTAGCGCACGATGCAAAAAAATGTGAAATAAAATCTTGAGTGAAGTCTGCCTACCTCTTTCTCATAAGCTAACATTGAATGAAACTAATTGGGTGTAAACAAAATTAAAATAAATAAAGTATGTCTAAGAAAAATATTTAATAGTATGTGTATGTATATTTTTCCTTAATAGAATATTATGAACGATTGAATTGCTTTTGAAGTTGGTGTTCAATTCTAATTCTCTCTATAGTAGGAGTGAGAAAAATTTTGTAAACACAAGTTTGAAACGTTAGAATGAATGGTCAGAATTGCAGAAACGAACTTGGATCAACCAGCTGATTGGCAATCTTGCTAGTCCAGTTTTTCAACTTCGAAATAGTGATAAAAAAACATTACAAACCTATTGTCCGCTGTTCCAAGATGATTTCAGTAATTTTGTTAATTTTTTGCTCGCTCCGATTCAAGTGGATTAATTATTTAAAAATTATTATTTTCATCGATCTCATTTGAAACCAAGAACCTGAAAGAATTAAGTAGCTGCTGTCAATAAGTAAGAAAGTTATTGAAACAACCACTGAAATATTCACATATATTGGCAAACAATGAAATAATAATCAACTCAGAAAATGCATCCACAGATATTCATGAACAGTTTAAACAGCAATCTGAATCTCCGTGAAACCATACAATTACCAACTCAACAACATCAACATAATTAATATTTAATTCACTTACGACAGCACAATCAACATTATTAACTTTAAAGATCAACAAAACAACAACAGCAGCATTATGACATGAACAGATTCAAAATAACACTAACAACCCAACACTAACAACACAGCACTAGCAACATTACACTAGCAACAACAACAACTCGGCAATGCTTGCATGTCTGTCCAGTTTAAAAGAGCGCCTTCTATTGCAGTATTAGTGTCAGTTCAAACGCTCAAACCGTGTCCGAACTCTTTGAAGATAATGCACTTGAAAGGTATGTACGCTATCTTTGTGTGCTTTCGCGAAAATATATCCATATGATGTGAAGTGATGACATTCATGCACGTTGATGCAATACAGATTGGTGTTGTTTGTGTTAGGTTGATGTCAATTGCAGTGATGTCATATGAGATGGTGTTATGTTGAGTGATGTCTTTTGGCAAACATCGCATTGTATGATGCAAATAAAAAACAATGTAGCAAAAACAACTGGGCAAATGTTTTCGTCAACAACGTTAAACTGTCTCTGCTACTCAACTTTTGTGCTGCTCCAACAGCACCTCAACAACCACCACAACCACCCACAATGTAATAGCTACTCGGCATTATCAACAACAAAAAGACACCACGACCAACAAAAATCACAACAAACATGACAACAACGATCCCAGCAATTAGCCAATTGCCAATTAGCTGGTTGATCCACCACCACCAACAACAATACAGTTGCAGTGCTCTCAGCCTCTCCCTAGCGCAATTGGAGACCGGATGGTCTTGGAACAAACCGCTCAGAGATCAGAGATCAACAACAACAAAAACTAGTCGGGTTTTCGCCGTGGGCAGATATGCCGCCGACCGCATGCCTGATCCTAATACTCTTGGCCGGAGACATTGACATTGAAACAACAACAACAACAATCACAACACACATGGCAACAACAACAACAGCAACAACAAATATGACAAAAAACATGACAACAACTACAACAACAACATCATCCATAACAAACATGACAACAACAACGACGGCGCAGAACTTGAAGCATTGATGTCATAATCATGTTGAGAATAAATGATGAGTGTATTTAATTTGATGAATGGTCCAGCATGTTATTGTTCTGCTGGCATTCTTAATTACAATGAAGGAAATATAAGCGTGGAAGACGTCATTAATCTATTATTCAACATCGGAACGTTTCATCATACGCTTTTGTTTATTTCTAAAGAGATTTCCTTACTTCGCGACTATTTGTTTTCATTTGCTTTTATTATTTCTGACGCCGTCCTGAGACATTTTCCGCAAGATAAATATTTCTCTATGAAGAGCAAATGAATGAACCGCATGCATAAGTTGTACGTAATCTGTTCATTATATTGTTGGTCGATTGATTGATGGACGTTGATGCTTCTTCCAGGGAAACATCCACAGTTGCTCCTTGTACGGCAGCAGGACCATCATTCAGTTGGGTCCGCCATTTCTTACATTTCACAGATGTAAACAAAACTGTTTCTAATTGCTTGCTTCATAGTTATTTATTAATAAATGTATGTTTTATTTTATTAAATAATATTTATTTATTTATTCATTCATAAGTAAATTTTGGCAGGATACTTTTTTGATACATATTTTGTTTAATTTGATGGAAGTTTGTTATTTAAATCGTGAATAAAATTTCCAAAAGTCATTTTTAAAATATTTAATTTTGTTGCGTCATCATGGAAGTAATTTTCAACCGAATGTGTTGTCTACGTGTGTGGTTTGAAGCTAAGGAGAGTAGAATACAAGGAGTTTGTAAAGAAGAAGGAGTTGGTTGTTGGGTTCGATAGAAGAAAACTTCACGAAATCAATCCGTCAAACTGACAAATCAATCAATCGATTGGTCAGCCAAACCAATCAACTGATTAAACTACAACTGACAGTTAATCTGTCAACCAACCGACCAACCAGTATATCAACCAACAAGTCAATCAACCAACCAACCAACCAGTATATTAACCAACCAACCAACCAGCGACCAATCAATCATCCAACGAACCTTCAAACTTGATGATATATCTATCTTGTGGTTCCTCATTCACCGATAACCAGTTTATTATGAATTTAATCACATGACCATGTGACGTCATCACATTCGTCAGTCGCCTCTTGCAGTTCTTCAGCTCCTCCTTGCGACCTGTCGAAACGTCTAAAATGTAGCCGTAGCTTCTACACGATCCAACTTGCTGTAGTTGTTGTTGTAGTTGCTTCTGCTGTTGTTGTTGCTGTTGCTGTTGATGTTGATTTGATATCTTGTTTGGATGAACAAAACGTTTGAAATGATATGATGATCTACGTTCGGAATTAGTATGTGGTCGATGCATTGTTCCCTTATTTGTTTTGCTGTACAACTGTTCTGTTTTATCGTTGCCGATGTTGTTGTAAATTTTTAATTTTTTAATTTTTATCTCTGTTGCAAGTTTGCTGTTGACTTTTGTGTCTGCTAGTTGATTATTATCGTTGGAAAAATTGAATGTGCTATTGAAGTACATGTTATTGTTGTTGCGGTTGTTGTTGCTGACGATGATGACGTTGTTGTCGTTTGACCTGCGTTCACGTTTTGTTTGTTGTTTATGTTTGTGATAGTGTTGTTTGTCATATTGTCCGTCTCTTAATTGTTGGTGTTCGTAGCGGTAATAATGACGACGCTGTGGCTGATTTTGTTGTTGGTGGTGTTCTTGTTGATGATATTGATGCTGTTGTTGTTGTTGATGTTGTTGCTGTTGTTGATACTTTCTGTTTTGCGGTGGAAGATGGGCGTAACTTGTTGGCTGCCTCAGTAATTCTAATTGTATCAAATTAGTGTCTCTTTTCTTGTTTTCATCGTTGTCTTTTTTAATGTTTTTGTTGTTAATGTTGTTGTTGCTTATTTTTAAATGCAAATCCATGCCCGCCATTTTTTGTTGTTGATATTGTTGTTGGAGCATTTTGATGTCGAGAAGAGTTTTCTTGGTGGTGTAGTTGACGGTGGAGCTGTAGTAGGCGAAGTCGTAGAGGCTGATGTTGACACGCTGGCCCATCCTTGCTTTGATGGTCACTGTCGGGAGCTGATGGAGTGCTGGAAGGTCTAATGTTGATGACGATGGTGATGATGGTGATGGTAGTGGTGTTGATGATGATGACGATGATGTTGAAGATGATGATGACGACGACGATGACGATGATGACCGTAATAAATATCATGTGCATAAAAAGACTATAACGATCTTTTAAGTACGTTCTGGTGGCAATAATAATAAATGTTGACAATACGGCATCTGCAATGATGATGACGACTACGACGACAATGATGATGATGAGATTTGATAAAAACACGATATAATGTTATTTTCCAAGTTACACAGGAATATTTTCATATAAAACTTGAATTATTTATTTGTTGGCAGTTCATTCATATAGTTCATTCAGTTGTCTGGTAATCAATCGCCCTTCCACTTAAAGACTTGCTTCACCATTCGTCCACACAAAATTTCAACTTATTATGGTTTTTTCTTCTAGCTTATGATGATTTTTTTTAAAGAGTTTCATGATTTAATTGATCTTTAAAACAATTTTCTGACTATACTTTATACACTCAATTTTTTGTTTTAAATGCATTTTCAAGCATAATTTAAATCAAAAATTTCAAATTAGTTTTCCGTAGAATCAGTTTGAAGCCTTTTTTGTTTTTATAATTTAAGATGCCGCTTTTTAAAATTCAAAATCGTAAAAACATAATTTCCAATGCAACGGTTATAATTTTTATTTTCTAAAAATTGTTTCAATATCTCACACCTGCCCCTCATAGTCTGCATGTGCAAGGTGGGCATCTTTTCAGTACTTTGGAGCAAGCCAGATAAAATTAGTTTCCGGTAGATTTTTGTACATTTTACAAAACCAGCAACGATCTTGTGCCAGAGAGCAGCGTAGAAAAGAGGGTTGGACTTTGGGTTAGACTTAAGGATAGATGGAATGTTTGGCTTGCAGATAAAATAAAAATCATCCGATGCTTCTTGGAAGACAGCACTTCAACTTTCTTCTAGAGTCAAATTGGTAAAATTGCTGTTATAAGTTTGCAAGTGACTTTTGTACTAAAAAACGAGCGGACATGAAAGATCTAGCAGCCAGGCTATAGAGCTTAGAAACAGTAAAAGAATAAGGAACTTTAAGCCGTGCCGACTGATTCCATACGAAAACTGTTAAGTATTGTAACGAGTCATATGTTGTGTGTGTATGTTGAAGGCTGCTTGCTTGAATCATGAAAATTAAGAAGAATCAGTTACATGTTCCTCGCACTTTTCTTGGATGAATATGTTTTTTATTTCACTTGCAGACAAAAAAAATCTTGAAACCTCTGTATATAGACTTGCAATCTCGAACTAAATAGTTCTGAAAACTAAGCTTTCTAAAATTAAATGTTAAATGTTTTATTTATTTTAACAATATTTTGAAGCTGCCGTTATCCACATTATCATCATCTTCATCATCATCAACTTCATCATCATCATCAGTGGATACAATAGTGCTCTTCAATCATCTTGTGATACGTTGTAATGAGCACTGAACAATGCACACAATGATGTCCTTCCGACACAATTCAAGCATCATCATCATCATCATCATCTTTTCTATACTCTTGCTGCAAGTATGTGTGTGTGTGTGTAAATGTGTGTGTTTGTGTGTATGCGTATGTGCATAGTGTGTGCTATTGTACATATGTGTTTTTATCTCACTTGTAGGCGTACGTACACATGTGTGTGTGTGGGTGTTGTCGATCTGACGATCTGATGGGTCTGATTGTGTGTGGTTAGTTGTTAAAGTGCTTAGGCATCGCCCTGTCTGTATTTCGTGTGGCTAGATTGAGAAAATGCCTGGTAACCGTTTTATTATTATTACGTTAAACAAAGACGAAGACGAAAACAATAAATTAATTAAACCTACTGAATAAATTTAAAATAATTAATGTCCTTATAAGTCAAATAATGTATTAAACCTTGTAAAATAAAAAAAAAGATAATAATAAAAAAAAACAAATATAAATAAATACATTAATCAAGAAGGCTTGCATTCGATGTTGAGGAGGCAGACTGCTTTGGATTGCAGAAGAAACGTTTAAAAAGATGAGGAGAGAATAGTTTTGAGGCATGCATTGTCTGACGTTATGTTTAATTATAAACATTTGAGTATCGGTGGAAGTTTCAGTAAGCATCGAACACGACACTTCACTCGGATAGTAGTGGTGGTGGTGGTAGTAGTGGCGGTGGTGGCGAACGAACAACTTGCACATTTGCCAGTGCATCCTCCACAGCCGAGACAATCCAACTCACGTGAAGACTCCATCACGGCTGACACAAATCCCCCCTGTTAGTCAACTGCATTTATGAGGTGCACAAACATGCTCAAACATCGGGACGTCTTCATATTTTGTTGGCTTTCATCGTCAGGAGGAAACATGTTCCGCGCGATTTTTCTCATTTAACGCCTCTCATTACGTTGACGCTGGTGGCTGTGTGATTGCGTGTTGGCGTGCTGTCTTCGGTGCGTTGTTCGTTGTGTTGATGTGTTAGTGTGTTGCTGTGTTTATGTGTTGATGTGTTGGTGTGTTGATGTGTTGTTTTGGTGCTCTCCATGAAAGTGCTAGCGTGATGTGTTGGTGTGTTGATGCGTTTGCATGTGCTGGTGCATTACCGTTTAACGCTTTTCTGATGATTTGTGCACAGTGCTGTTGACGTATAGACTGCCATATAATAAGCTAGGTGAGTGTTGTGTGTGTGGCGTGTGGTCACGTTGTTGCGATGTTTGAGAGTTGCAGGATAGAGTTGTAGGCTTGTGCTAATTAGCTTCCTTAATATGTTGTTTACGTGTGCTTCATCGCTTGCTGCATAGGTTGGGTGATGGGGGGTTTTGTTGATGTGTTTTGAATTTAGTTGGTGGGTAACAAAGCTCTGCACTGCTCATCATTTTGTGCTGTGATTGTCCTGTTACGTTTCTTTGCTGTGAGTTGTGTCTTGTTTCGTTCTAATTAAATTTTTATTCTTCGCATTGCTGCATGGAAGCCTTGCGGTGAGTTTGATGATGGAAGGTGATATCTCTTCGTGTTATTTTTTGTTGCTACGTATTTTTATTGTGTTCAAAATTTTCATTTATTAGATAGCTCAAATATCTGCAAGTCAACTTGCATTTTACATTAAGATTTGGTAAAATTTGCAGGCAGTATAACGTTTTAAAAAGTTGTTTCAAATAAATAATTAATTATCAGCTTTTCAACAACTTTCAAAAGCAGTGGTAAATATCGTTACACGTTGTAAGATATTTATTGCGTAAGTTGCTTGATAGCCTGCGCAGATTATTTTGCCTTCAAGCCAGCTGACCATGCAACAGGACGGGAGGCTGTCCGTCGACTTCAAACGAATTTGAATTATTTTGTTAAGAAGGAATACATCTTTTTGAAATTGTGTTCGATGTCTTCTGATTGATGTAACGCTTTTTGTGGACAGCCATAGTCCTCGCCTCACGCCTCATCGAAGTTTTAAGTTTAACGTGAAATTGTTACAAACTTCTGTTGAACAATTTTGAATTTTGAGACTGGATGCAACAAAACTTCATAATGCCATCGGCAAACTCGATTTAAGGTGCTTATAAATTTGACTGATGTTTTTTAAATGCAAGGCGATACCATAGCAGCAATTTTTCAGTTCTTTAATTATTGTTTCAGGTTCCTTTCATAAACAACTTTTTTGTCTTTTTGCATGGAGATGTCCAATATTTTTAAAACTTTTTTCATTTTCTGCCAATCTTGCCAGTTCAAATATTTGAATATTTTTTATTGAATTCCCAGATGCCTGTCTGTCGTATTCTGCAATTGAAATATTTTCATCTCCACTGTGAACTGCTACAGACCATCCTTATTCATGTTGCTCCAATTTGTTCATCCCCCTTCATGCCTAAGACTACCGCACACTAATTAGAGTTAATCTGGACCATCTTTCGCCTTGTTCATTTTTATTTACGGACATGCGTTGTTACGAGCATCTTTTAGGTTAGTTAAATGTTTGTTATTATTTCATATCTTCGTTGTTGTACAAGCATGATTTACCAAAGCGTCAAATGAATTGTAATTCAATGTTAAGTGGTGCTCTGCTTGTGCGGATGTTCGTCTGGCACGAGCACGGCTTACTGGCTGGCGAACATTTTCACAGCAGTGCCACTAATGTATCAGTGATGTGCACGCAGGCAGCATTTGTTTGCATGGCAATGAGAAGTTGTCCAGCCATTAATCATAATGATTCTTTCTTTAAATTCTCCGTGATTAATTCCACTGTATGTGCGTCTGCCTGCATTCTTCATAATCATTCATGGCTTCCTTCGGTTTCGCAGCAACGGCCCGCTGAGACTGATGAATATTCGCACAAATTGAAAGCAGTGCTCGGTGAGAATCAATTAGTCGGTCAGTCGAGTTCAATTTAAATTAATCCATTCATTCAATCAATTAAATTACAAATTAAACATATTTTCATGATTTGCATTTACGATGCCAAGTGCTCAGGGGTTGGACGACTGTGTGAAAATGTTTAAGTGATGACGGCACGAAACACGCACATCCCTACAAACCACAACCCCAGTTCCGGCTTCAGTTTTTATTGACGGAATGTTGATGGTGTTGGATTGTTTGCAGATTTCATTCTTTAAACAACCACGTTAAAGAAATTAAGCAGGCTCCTGGATCTTATCAGTTAGTGCTACCGATGGATGGATGGATGGATGGATGGATGGATGGATGAATGGATGGATGGATGGATGAATGGATGGATGGATGGATGAATGGATGGATGGATGGATGGATGAATGGATGGATGGATGGATGGATGAATGGATGGATGGATGATGGAAGGATGGATGGACGGATGGATGGAAGGATGGATGGATGGATGGATGGATGGATGGATGGACGGATGGATGGATGGATGGATGGACGGATGGATGGATGGATGGACGGATAGATAGATGGCTGCTGATGCTTGGATGATGCCAGGTAATAAATGTCGCCCACTTGAAGCATTCAGTTGTCTCCAGAATAAAACTGCATGCGTTATGTGTGCTAATAAAACATCTGCCTCGTTGTAATCCTCCTATGCGAGTCTGGCATATTTCAAAATTCCCTGCTCCTCTTGCGCTCTCCAGCTGAGTGTCTCTTCGAGCTACGTGGTGTCTTGGTCGGCGTTTCTTTTTCACAAACAAAGTCTGCTTCATGTTTGTTTGTTTGTTGGTTTGTTCGTTCGTTCGTTTTTTAAATTTTTTAAACGTTTGTTGCCGACGCACGTTCGTTTATGGTTTGTCGTTTCGTGCACTTCAAATCCTGCAACTTGTCGATAATTTTTTTTAACTATCTACTGATAGTTTTTTTGTCTATTTGACTTTTTTTTTATCTCATTGTTTGCACTTTTAATGAGTTTGTTTGAATGTTTTTTAAGTTTAGTTTGAAATTTCAGTTGGATAATTGTATTGAGGTTTGCAAGTTTGCATAGTTGAACAAAGTTTGATTGTTGGATGTTTGCTGGTCTGCATTTTGTTTCTTGAAATTTATTTTTTATTTTTATTAATGATTTTTTTTCAATATTTGAAGAATTATAATTTAAGGACAGTTGCATTGATTGATCAGTTCATTTTCTTACCGTGGTTCGTCAGTGGCACTTCTTTCGAAACACACCAATAGAAGTGAGAAATAATAAAACAACAATAACAACAATATTGTAAATAGTTTCACTGAATGCCATGTAATTATTCTTCACATTGTTCTGCTCATAAATATTGAAGCATTAGCCGTGGAGACAGTTGGGAACGTTTAGAAATGCTGCTACCTGCACGCACCAATGTAATCTCTATGTCAGTGTACATTCTGCATGCACGATATATCACTGCGTAGTACCACGCAACAACATTCTACGGTCCGTGGAAGTTGCGTTGGAAATTTAATTTGAATACATTTTAATAGAAACACGCACGCGCTTTCACGTACAACGTAGGCACATGGAGTGTAATATGTAGCGTACAATGTGCAGCGCAACTGTACGAGCCTGCTCAATTCAAACAGCCATGTCCTACTTTATGAATAAATTGAATTTTTTAAGTTATGAATAGGCAATTCAACAGTTTGGAAAAAAATTTCGTAGAAACATTTCATCACAAACTGAGCAAGCAATCGTCGCAACGAAGGAACGACCAGGCTGAGGTAGGACTGCCTGTTTCAAGCTTTAATATAAGCTTAATACATTAAAGTCACTTTGAATCGGCAAGTATATTGACAGTCACACACACATACACACACACATACATACAAACAAACAAACAGCAACTACCAACACATACAAACAAACATGATCTGGCTTGTGTTGCAAGCACCCACACACACATGCCCGTGCAGTAAAGTGCACCTACTTTCTTGTATGCACCGATTAATCGATGGACCCATCGATTAGTGCATCATGCAACATTCATTCAATAGGCTTATATTGACAAAGAATATGCTAACAGTTCAATAGGTAAACACTGACAACGCGACTGAGAAATGACTGAAATAAAAAGAACGACCAAAGAGAGACATGACGACAAATAGTTGATTTATGCTGGCACGCCTCTGGACCATTTTATTTCATATGAACCATCAGAGGAGATATGGTGAGGATTGGTTTGACGAGTGACTACAACAACTATCGTCACACTGCACAAATTTCTGAACGGTGACAATTCAATTATCTGAACGAAGGAAGTAGGTCAAACACCATGCACCATGCAGAGTGCATTCTCAATAACAACCACTGCATAATCGGCAAAATTGTCGTGAGCTATATATTTCAAACTTTATTGAAAGAATCAATGTCTTTGTGAGCCTAGTTCTAAAAGCTGGGAAGAATCTCATCATTGTTGGAACATCAGCATCTACAACATCTTCATTACAGGCATGATCATCGTGAACATCAATGTTATGAAACCGTCGTATGTGCCAATACGTAGTTCAATCGCAAAAACTGTCGGTTTCAAAACAACCAATTCGCTATAAAACAGTGAATACATTAAGAGCTGAAAATTGCAAGTTTTACATTTTTGGCGACTTTGTACGCTTTCAAAGACGCGCAGAGTTTCAATTTATTCGTTGAATTGCTTCGCAGATAATCAAGTGATTGTTAGGTACTAATGGGATTTGCTCAAGGGGTCTCTTGTTTTCACGTCCCATGTTGTTATGTACCATGGCCATTATCTATTTATGATACTCAATAAATTATCCGTTGGTTGATATCTTCATGTTATTTGCTTATGTTCAATATCTCCAAGGGCCACATTGAAAAAACAGCAAGTATCGGAGGCATCTAACATGCAAATCAGTTGCGTGCCGGGCATAAACACTGTCAGCTACTCTTAGCCGTCCGCTTTTCAGGATCACACTGTTTGGGACTTTAACCGTATTATATTTGTTTATAGCTCTCCCAAATTCTCAAATTTTTCATATATGTATTCTCTCTTCTCCAACAATTTTCCACTTCTTGGAAAAAATGACACTGTGAGAACGACTTAGCTGACGGATTAATTGAGGGAAGTTTAATGTTTCAAACTTTGCAACACGCCAAAATTTTCTTCCACGCGATCCTACGAATATGAACTAAAAAGGAAGCCAACAAAGACAATAACATAAATACATATCGGAAATGGCGTAACCCGCATTAGAGAAGCATTACCTGAATTAGTGTGACATATTCAATTTGAAGGAAATTGTTCTAAATAAAAAAAATTGCATCTCACGACTAATTTAACAGAAATAAAAAAATAAAATAGATAAAATGTCGCAATGAAACTGATTTGCGCAGGTTAAATTTAATTATAAAAGTTGACGTATTCGTCATTTTAAAGAATTTTTTAAATAAAAATCTAATAGCAGTTACGTACGTTGTCATAAAGAGAGTAGAATGACGTGACCGTGCTATTGATAATTTTATGTTGGAGTTCTTTGTTGACTTTCTTTATTCTTTAAAAAAATATTTTGTTTGAAAGTTTCTTAAAATTTAATTTTTGCAAACAAACAAAACATTATTATGTTTATCACGAAATACGCAAAATGCAAAATAATTTAATACTAATGAAATATTTTCAAACTTTACTTTAAAATTTTGTTAGCAAAAATTTTTAGCAAAAAATTATTTAGAAAAAATTGCCTAGTTTTGGGATAAAAAAAAATTTATTAATAAATAAAAAAAGAAAAAAACTGGTGGAAGCCATAACTCGAGTACATACAACCAGTTTGTTATTTTATTTTTTTCATTTGTCTATGGATCCATGTTTATATTATCTTTCGTTATAACGTTTTTTTATTAATAAAAAACGTTTATTTCTTTTTGAACGTTTAAAAATTTAATTTTTAATGGGAAATTGTTGTTCTGCCAATAAACAGCATTAGAAATTACCTTCAAAATTCTACAAAAGTTGTGAACGCTTTTACAGTTTATCAATGCAGATCTATCAATGCATTCTTCTACAATTCATCACATTTAGGTGAATTGACAAAAAATTAGCAATCAAATTGTTATCATTTGTATGTTGTTATTAAATGTGTTAATAAATGATTAGTTTCAGTTCCATTCTTCAGGTTGCTCGTCGCACCAACCAACCAAACTTATTATAGTATCCAGATGTTTGCAGCTGTTTGTAAACTTTTTCATAAGCGGATCATGGAACCTATTGATAGTAATTACACGAACTTGTATGTTCGAAGTACCTCAGTGATTTTTGGACGTTTGAATCTAGAATGAGATGAAACATGTTAGCTGACAACCAGATACCGAAATTATATTTGTTCTGACCAATATTCCACTGCCCAAAAATAACTGATTTTGACTTTTATAAATTTATTTATTCACTGAAACGTTTTCATCAAAATTTTATAAAACTTTATAACTTTGGATGTATTAATTGTATTGTTATCAGTAAATGAACGGTGGGTTGTGCTGTTGTTATGTAATGTGCTACACACCTTATTATGTTTAAAAGCGTTATATCATTCGTAATATCTGTCAAGTAGTTGTGTATGTGTGTGGAGTATTTGCATGTGTGAAGTATTTGTGTGTATACCTATGCAAGGCCTGTATGACCATTTTGAGACCCGGGTCAGATAACATCATATCCCGAGGTTCTCATGCTAACATGTCTAAAAATAAACAACAGAAAAAAAGTCATCATCTTTTTTTGAGACCAATTTAACCCAGTGTTAGAAGACCCTTAAATTTGGAGGCCCATGGCAAATGATTCTTGGTCACCCTTTCCCGAGGATTTGTATTTGTCTGGTCGCCGTGTCTGGTCGCTGTGTCATTGTGATGTTGTTGTTTTGTTGTTGTTGTTGTGTTTTTGTTGTTGTTGTCGTCGTCGTCGTTGTGATGTTGTTGTTGTGTTGATGTTGTTGTTGTGTTGTTGTGTTGTTGTTTTTGTTGTTGTCGTCGTCGTTGTGATGTTGTTGTTGTGTTGTTGTTGTGTTGTTAGTGCTGTTATTATTTTGGTATGTTTCTGTGTTTTTGTAGGAAGTTATTTTTGGAGTTTTTATTGACGACGTTGAAGGTTAAGACATGCGAGTTGGTGCTTCAATGAATCTAAATAATCTGATGCATCATCTATCGATTGTCATTGTGACATCGGTGTTGAAGATGATGATGTTGAAGAAGAAGAAGATGGTGATGATGATGCCATGAAAATGATAATAAAAAATGATGGAAGATCAATGAATATTGATGATGAGAAAGCCAGTCAGCACATGAATAAAATATGATGACTGAAATCACTTTAAATTGAAAATATTGGCAATGAATAAAAAGTGAGATTTAGAGCTTGAACATTAGATGACCATACTCGATGAATTTAAACACAAAATTTGTTATCATCATCTAATTTTTCATCCATTGATCTTGTATTTATTCGATGAACATTTAAAAACTTCGTCAAAAAGTTTCATCCCATAAGCAACGGTTCGATCGTGCAAACACGTCTCAACATCATTCATGAAGGTACTACCTTTCAATATCGTTATGCTACAATACATCAAAATTCACTGTAACGATTTACAACATCATCTCAGTTTCCTTCCAGACGACATTCCTCTCCATTTCAAACCTCGCCATTGTCGTCATCATCAACGGACGTGTTTTCCAACATCAGTGACATCATCACATCAGAGTCACATCCTCAACATCAGTGACATCATCACATCAGAGTCGCATTGGCATCGTCGTCGTCACATCAACAGCATCGTTGTTATTTTTTTTATATTTCGTTCATTCGCAATGACATGACATGACATGACATGATATGGGATGTCACATGAAACGAGATGGAACTTACTTTGTTGGCAGACGTATGTGGCATTGAGGTAGTTCTTCAGCTCCCTCACACACGGCCTGCTCGCTTCCAACTCTGCATCCGGAATTCGAATCTCGCACACTCGCTTCCCTGAACATCTGTGTGTTTGTTTGTTCGTTCGTTCGTTTGTTTGTGTCTGGGAATGACTGTGTCTGTAGTTGTCTGGGTATGCCTGTTTGTTTATGTGCAATTATTTTGTTTCGTATGTACGTTTGTTTGTGTATGAGTGTGTGTTTGTGTGTATCGTTTTGTTTGTGTATAGGTTTGTTTGTGCATTGTGTTTTGTTCTATTTGTATGTATCATTTTTATTAGTGCATGCGCGTGTTTCAATTTTTGTCAGTGTGTGTTTTGTGTTTGCTAATTGATGGTTGTGTGCGTGAATTTAAACAACCCTTAAGTTGGAGTCCATAAAACTTTCCCACTGAATATTTGAATGTCGATAGCTTCTTACGAATATCAGACGGAAACTTCATTTGATTGCACGCGACTCGAGCGAACAGGTAAGTCGCCAGCCATGCAAATCAGCGACATCCAATGCAACCAAGTCTGGCTTTCTTTTCTTTTTATATATTACATCCAGAAATGTTGTGCAAGATTGTGTTGTAATGTTCATTTAGTGTGTTTGTGTGTGTGTGTGTGTGTGTGGGTGGGTGGGTAGGTGGGTGTGTGAGTGGGTGGGTTGATTAATGAATGGGTGGGTGTGAGTGGATGTGTGAGCGTGTGGGTGTGTGGCTAAATAATTGATTTTTGTGATATTTAAATGTGTATTTTCAGGAAAAGTCTGCTAAAGTTGTCAAAGAACAAATAGATCAGAGGAAAGTTGTTATGTATCATTAATCCAGCATGTCCGCATCTCCATTCCATGTGTTCTTCTACAAAGTCATTGTCAGTGTTTGTTCGTGTTTGTTCGGGTTTGCTCGTGTTTGTTTGGGTTAGCTCGTGTTTGGTCGTGTTTATTTGCTTGTTTGTTTTTGTTAAATTGTTGGTTTTCCTGTTCATCGTGTGTGTTTGTTTCAGTTTGTATATACATTCATGTCATTTCTGCGGTTTTCATGCTGGTAAAAAACTATAATTAATGCAGTCATTTATGAAATGTACAGGATATCTAGCGTTGGATTATATATATATATATATATATATATATATATATATATAGAGAGAGAGAGAGAGAAAGAGAGAGAGAGAGTTGGGAGTTCACTACAATGCATTTTTATTCATATTGTCACTGTAGTTGCTGTCCGAGATGACTGAATATTGTGAAGCTTCAGTTTATAGTTCAAGGTACAACTGACGGTTTGTCAGTTATGAAACTTTGGAGAAAGAATGGAAAAGCTTCAGTCGAACTGCCGACGAACCCTCTGCAAGAAAAAAGTATTCTCTGAGTTTCTGGGCCTTTGCAAATTCATTTTTGACAAGTTCTGTTTGTGTTTATTAGTTTGATTAGTTCTCATCTTATTAAAATTTGTTCATATTTATTGGTGAAAGTTAGATGCACTGGACCTTAAAGCGAGATAGACCTTGTAAAAGTGTTTAATTATAAACAGAGCTGGTTCTATGTAGAGTGCATTGTGTGGAAGTCGTGTATAGCATGAGTGGGGTGGTGTACAACATGTGTGTGGTGGTAGTGCACGGCATGTGTGGTGGTGATGGTGGTGGGGTTCAACATGCGTAGTGATTGTGAATTGCTTTTTTTTCAAAAAAAGTTTATTCCTTGTTTTGCATCATGGCAAAGAGTCAGAAAATTAATTGCAATGTTGGCTGTCATGTTGAGGCAATTCGTACGTTGTCAACTCGGATGGACGTGATCGATGCTCGGAGGCAGGGTTCAAAAACGTGCTGCGTCAAAACTCTCTTATTGTTTTGTTTCCAGCTCTATACATTTCTGTGCATGTTTATTATAACTATGCCACTCAGTTAATAAGAATTATTAAAATGTTCTAGTAAAATTAATTTAATGAAATGTTGTGAAAAATGAAATTAATTCAATCAAAAAATTTGAATGCGCTGCTGACTCTGAAATGTCCATCATCAACAATGTCCACAATGCTACTATAGATCGATGTTAGAAAAAATTAGCCCAATAAACGCCAAATGTTGAGCAACACACCAACCTCCTGTCCATTACGTGCAGCACATCGGCCGAGCAGTTGATGTGACCTAGCTCCAACTCCAAACATCTGCCCAACTTCTTCCTGCCATACTGGGCCTGCAACATGACGATCAGCCACCCCTCGCCACACTCGGCTCTGAAGACCTCCGTGTCACAGTACTCGCCACCTATCAAATCTGCATTGTGGGCGTGTGTGTGATGAAATCGTGAACGTCAACATGAATGTAGTGATGTGCTGTCTGCGCTTTGAAAATATTAAGGGCACAATTATCCACCTATTTTTATAAATTTAACACTTTTAACTAAATTATTTTTTTCATTTTATCCTCAAGAGTAACATCATCATCGGCACCCCACCATCCATCCATCCATCCATCCATCCATCTACCCAACCAGCCATCCACCCACCCACCCAAACAGCCATCCAAAAACAGCCACCCACCCACCCAAACAGCCATCCACCCAACAAACCGGCCAAACCAGCCACTCAATAATTTAACTCATCATCAGCATCGTCACGTACAGTTCATCACGGCGCAAGTTCCAACAGTCGATACGTCGGCGCTCACTTATAAATCAATTTCTCTCCTTTGACTCTGCTCAGTTTTTGAGAACTTGTCCGACTTTCGTTGGGTTTGTGATGATGATGATAAGGAGGGCTGATGTTCCAATTCAATGTTTTATGACAAGTTAGTTGGAATGAATTCATACATTTTTGTTTTTAAAATCTTTTGGAAGGAATTTTAAAAAATGTATGCAGAGCAAGCATATTTATAAATGTTCGATTCTATTCACCGCATGCACACATCCACCCACCAACATTATGCATCGTGCTACATTCATTCATTCATTTGTTTATTTTTAATTAAATTATTTTTAAATAAATTATTTACTTATTTATTCACTTATTTATTCATTTACTTCATAACCACGAGGGTCTCAAAATTTAATAGAAACATCGATAACTATTATGTTCTTCGTACAAATTATATTTTCATTTTTGTTGCAACCAACAAAAAATTGAAACACCCACGATGTTATTAATACAAAGAGGCCGACTGAACAACAGACTGTTCAGTTTTGTATGCGGTGGCTTACAACTTGAGTAAATATAAAATAATAACATAAATTAGTTCAATTGTGTTTCAGTTTAGAAGTCTTCATGCAATAAAGTTCATTGAATTCGCGCTTGTTGCCTTTAATAACTATCACACGGTGTTTTCTGCTTGTGTGTAACTATAACATTTTTCATCATAATTACAATAGCAATTCTTAAGAATTCAGTTTGAAATGTAAAAATGGGAAAATTCAAAGGAGACCTGGAAAAAAATTTGCATAGGCACGGCTGTTAATCGGGCTGATTGACTGGAGCACTGCCTTGCAATAATGACAATGCACCGAAATTCTTTAATAAGAAGGAATTCATTTCCTCCCCCGTTAATTACGTCCACAATGGAGTGACGTCCACAAACTGTGCCGAATATTTATTAAATATTTTCTGCTCAGAAACAGTTCTTCATTTAATTAACTACTTAGTTACGTTACTTATTTTAACGTACTATTGCAACACTTTTGTGGTTCTATATTTCAAAAGTATGCAAAGATCAAGACGAAACATTCCAAAAAAGTCATAAAAATCATGAAAATATAAACCAGAACCAGTTGTTTTACAAATTTTATTGCAAAAAAATAAAAATTGTTACACGTTTTTTGTAGTGCTTTTACTTTTAAATAAATGTGTCAACATTTTTGACAAATTTATTTTGAAAAGATGGTGCAGTTGTATTGGTTGAAGTTGTTGTGGTTGCAGTTGTTGTGGTTGCAGTTGTTGTGGCCCAATGGCGAATTCCAAATTAGCAAAGTGCTCTACAAATTAAACTCTTGATATTTGGGCCTAGTGCAAATCGTATGGTTTTGTTCAGCCTGTTAATGCTCATTTCAACCTACATGACAACTTCAATTGTAAAAGAGTTTTCTCGCCGACATTGTAGTGCTAACTTGAAACAGATTAAAACTGTCCGCCAAATCGCCCAAATGAAAGCCCATTACAAAACAGCAATGTTTTATCCAATTAAAATGGTAACTAAAATTTGCCTATTAAAATATTTAAACTGTCTTGAAAACTGTTTAAAAAGTTTACTAATAACTTTCCGAATGTTTGTACAATTACCAGGATATCTTCGTATTGGAAATGTTTACATTTTTTTAAATTATGCACGGGCACGCGCGTGGAATTTTCACTCTGGAAAGAAGCTTTTTGTCTAACCTTACTGCCCATCACAGCAATTAATTCATTGAAAATAAACTTTATTCGTAATTGTTTTGAATGAAAAGTGATTCTTTTGTTTCTTTTCAGTTGATATTATTTCTCAACAGCTGCTTTTTTCTCATTTTTGTAGAGTACACTTTTCTTCTAACAATATAAGCTTTCTAATTTTTAAACACTCATTCACTTACGACGAACGAAACTCAACATCTGCCTCGTTAACGGAAAGTATCAAATGTCGGTAATGGCTGCCGTTATCATTTGAATTATATTTAAATGAAAAATTATGAAAAATTTGTTAAACAGCTTCAATTTTGTTTCAAGTTTTCAATGAAGTTTATCATCTTCACGCGATGTTCAGTTTTCTTCCATGCAAGATATTCTGAATGGAACGCCGGCTCCAACATTCCAATTGACTGTCTTTCAAATAACGGAGTCCTAAAACATTCCAAGACCATCAAAGAATTTTGTTTAGACAGCAGATGTTCTAAAACACGCTAATGTAATTGAGCATTAAAAAAAGCTATCGAATATTATTGAAGACCATCGACATGTCGTGACATTAACACATTTTAAAGAGGCTGTATCGTATCGGCTGCCGAAAATTTGGTCACATGGAAATTGTGTTATACAATCCCAGTGGGACTAACCAGTTTGTAGTTTAAATGCCTGTCCACGTGTTCTAACCTCATAAATTGACAAATATCAACACAAAATAAACTTCTTACAACAAGGAGGTTTATGGCTTGAAAGCACGAGGTGCCCTGGCTTCGATGACAACCGCATTAAGAAAATGTCACTCGAAAATTTCAATGTAAAAAAGTTTAAAAAATGTCAACAAAACAGAGAAATCAAGCTATACAAAAATTAATATCGTACTTTGATGTTAATGTTCTTTTTGTTTAATTTTTTTCGTTTTTTAAACTTACCAAAGGAACCATATGTACTAATTTTTTTTTGTGTGTGTAATTTTCTTAGCATCCAAATAACCAATATAAAATAACATTTGTTGAAATGAAATGTAAACTTTCAAAACAATAAAAAATTAAACAGTTCACAATGAGGACGTTTCAGACAACCGCTGGCACAGGCCAGTGTTTAAAATAAAAAACCTCTTTGTTTGTTTTTAATATAATTGTTTATTAAAGAAACGTATATTGAAATATTAGAAGACACGTTAGTCGACAAAAAGCGAAAAGAACATACACGTGCAAGTTAGTCAAGTTAGCAATAATATAAGATTGTCTGAAACTATGGAAAGTCATAAATATATTGAAACATATATAATATACATATATATTATTTCAATACTTTCCCATGTTTCAAAACATTTTATGACATTAGTCCCATAAGTCCACACAAGAGTTTTAGTCTGACTCTGTCCAGTGGCTTTGTCATCACATCAGCGACTTGATCACTTGTTGAAATTTGTGTGATATCAACCGTTCCATCTTGAATTATTTCTATAATAAAAAAGTTCTTCAAGTCAATGTGTTTTGTTCGCCGATGAAATTGTGGGTTCTGAGCTAATTTGACTGCAGCACTGTTGTCAACTTGCAAGATTGGCACATCTTTCAAATCAACCTGTAATGATTTGAATAATCTTTGAAGCCAAATTATTTCTTTGACAGCCTCTGTCGCGGCGATGATCTCAGTGTCTGTTGTAGATGTTGCAACTATGGCCTGTCGTTGACTAATCCATGATATTATGCCTCTTGCATATATCACTGCAATACCTGTGGTCGAACGTCCAGTCTTCCTACAGCCTCCAAAATCTGAATTACTGAAACACTGTAAAACATGCAATATGTTGCAGGTTTAACTGTAACCTGAAATTTCAGCTTCAATTTTCCAATAGATCTAAATCTTCTGTGTTGCTAGCGGCTACCAGTCCATCATCAACATACAATGCTAACATCATAATGTTTTCATTCTGTTTTTTAACATACAGACATGGATCCGCTTCACTCGACTTAAAGCCACATTCAAAAAGAAACTTGCCGAAGCATTAATTCCAACAACGAGGTGCTTGCTTTAGACCATACAGACTTTTGAGCAATCGACAAACTTTATTTGAGCCATCATTATATCCTTCTGGTTGTTTGATGTGGATCACTTCATCAAGTTCACCCTACAGGAATGCAATTGAAACATCAAATTGAAGAAGATGCAGTTTTTCATTTGCTGCAATACTTAGTACAGAGCGAACTGTAGTCAACTTTACTACTGGACTAAACGTCTGATGGTAATCTACATTTTGTCGTTGTGAAAATCCTTTTGCCACAAGTCTTGCCTTGTATCTATCTACACTTCCGTCTGGCAAGGTTTTTATTTTGTAAACCCATTTACATGGAATAACTTTAGTTCCTCTGGGTAGCTCACAAAGTTCCCAAGTTCTATTTTTGTTTAATGAATTAATTTCATTATTCATGGTATCATTCCAATATTTACTTTCCCTGCTTTGAATGGCTTCTTCGTATGTATCTGGTTCATGTACATCTAATAAATATGTCTCAGCCTGCATCACATAATCATCTAACTTCTTAGGTTTCTGCAAGCTTGACCTATCTCTGAGTTGAACTTTAACTGAATTATCTATAATCTTCTCAGTGTCATCTGTAATTTCTTCTTTTAAATCATCATTTCTACTACTCGAGTCATTTTCTGATTTGCAATTGATTTGAGGATCTGTTGTAAAATCTTTTTGAGTCTGATGTTCAAATGATGTTGTACATTTCATAGGTTTTTCTTGGAAAACTACATCTCTTGATAATATCATTTTATATTGATTTTTGAGTCATATATGATAGCGTTCGTCACCATCGTAACCAACAAGGTAACCTTTTATGGCTTTCTTATCCGTTTTTTGACGTTTTTGATCAGGTATGTGAACAAAACATGTAGAGCCAATTATTCTCAAATGGTTAATTCTTGGCTTTTTACCTGTTCAAATTTCAAATGGGCTTTTATCTTCAATCGACGACTTACCTGTTTGATTAAGTAAATATACTGCAGTTGAACATAACTCAGCCCACATAGCGACTGAAAATTCAAAATCTGGATTTGAGTACTTCAATGTGCGTGCCATTTCTACTATTGTTCTGTTTTCACGTTCACTACCACCATTTTGTTAAGGTGTATATGGTGCTGTTAGTCTTTGCGTGATTCCATGGCTGCGCAGGATGTTTCGAA